CTTGATGAAAATAGCAACCATGGACATCGTGCCGTTGTGTAGAATAGAATAGAAATTATTTATTCAAACAATACAATGCATACACACACACACGTACGCACCCCACAAGTAACTGACGACCTCGGTGGTCTAGCGGTCTAGCACACCGCTTTACGACCGATGGTCGCGGGTTCGATTCCTCACACGGCACAAACATTTGTATTCCTGAGTATGATTGCTTGTATCTGTCTGGGTGTTTTCTATATACAATGTATATATTTACAAAAAAAAATCTATGTATATGTTTTAGTTATCTAGTGCCCATAACACAAGCTTTAGCTAGCTTAACTTGGGTCTAGATGGCCCTGTGTCAATTGTCCTGAGATTATTATAAAAAAAAACTGATAGTCTGTTAAGGTTATTCCCAATTGTAAATTGTAAGAGTAGGGAACTGATCTCTAAAATAACCTATATTTCTACTTAGTTTAGGTACCAGGAAACAATGTAAAATGTAAATATTGGATGAAAATTAAATGATTATTATTATTATCAGTCGATATATGGAAGGCTATAATTTTTTTAAATGCATCAGCAATTAACCTTAATCATGATTTTAATAGATGACAAATGATCTACCTATTAGACATGTCATCTTTAAAATGTTTATATTGCCTATAGATAATGAACTAAAATGGTTAATCCAAATATTCACGACCAAATGGGGTAGGCAGGGCCCTTCGACAAAAGTCAAATGTCAATATACGCGCTAATCTCAGAAACTACTGGTTCGAATTAAATAAAATCTTTCTGTGTTGAATAGTCCATTTGTCGAGGAAGGCTTTAAGCTATGTAACATTACGCTACGACCAATAGGAGCGGAGCTGCAATAGAAAATATTGCAAAACATGTTGAAGAAACGTCAACGAAATTGCGCGGATGAGCTAATCTATAAATATATAACTCAAAGGTGACTGACATAGTGATCTATCAACGCACAGCCCAAACCACAGACGGATCGGGCTGAAATTTGCCATGCAGGTAGATGTTATGACGTAGGCATCCGCTAAGAAAGGATTTCGATTAATTCTACCCCCCAGGGAATAAAATAGGGGATGAAAGTTTGCATGAAACTTTGTCACTTTTAAACCGATCGGGCTGAGACTTTGCATGCATAAATCTACTATGACGTAGGCATCCTCTAAGAAAGGATTGTAATAAATTCCACTCCTAAGGGGATAAATTAACGCGAGAGAAGCCGCAGGCAAAAGCTAGTAAATAATAAATTGTGCGTCAAAGAATAGAATAGATTTGTTCGCATTACAATTCACGGTCTCGTCCACAACAAATTACAGACAGACGTAGAAACAATCGACAATCAGGGCGTACAATCATCCCCACAACTCTCCCCCACACACCATTTGAATATTAATAGAGCTCTGACAATGTATCTTGTTTGGATGTTGTGTTCTTAGAATATGTAACTTATTGGTCAATTAGTATTAATAATATTGTTGTTTTAATTCTGAATTTACTGAGCAAAGCCTCACTCACTAAACGATTACTTGTATTTTCCGTGCATGGCAATAGTTGTTCATGCAAGGGATTTTTATATAATGTTATACATAGACACGTATATAAATATATTTCATTCATAATTTAAGAGCTGTGCTCTTGTCGGTGGAGCTCCCGCCACCTTCCACGATCTTCCATCAGTCCTTTTAGCTGTTGATACGACACGACTCCAACTTTTACAATGTAAATATATAGTACATTGTAAATAATTTGGCTTTTAAAAAAAAGTAATTCAATTGAGTTTCTTGCCAGTTCTTCTCAATTGGATCTATATGCTGAACTGGACGGTAGGGAAAAAAATATAATATAAAAATTTGACGTTCATAAGCGGCTAAAAAGTCATACATGAATAAATGCTTTTTAAATTAGAATTTGAATGTTTGTAAAAGGCTTCAAAAGACCGTCCCCCGTCATCAGGAGATCACGGCGGTTTCTTTCGGACTACTGTAATTCTGCTGCCGTAGCTCGCCTTTACAGCTTCACAGGACGATAGATGGCGAGTGCAGATGGCACTCCAAACCCGCAGAAAAACATAATAACCTTTTGTTACATAATAACCATTTTTGAATTTGAATCTGATGGCTGTGGAGGCTTCGCTTTCTGACGGTCATGTGTTCGATTCCCGCACAATATTTATAAGAATAATAACTTTATTCGTTACACGTTTTACATTATTTTTAAGCTAGAGCTGGGCTCTACTTGTAAGTTCTTGTAAGTACATATTTAATACTTGTGATACTATATCGCGCTATTCTAAAACTGTTTATCACTATATTCCCGTACAATACAAACGTTTGTAAACCGCAGTAGTTTTTTTTATTTGATATTATATTACACATACATATATTATGTCTCTATAATTACAAAATATATATTTTTTTATATTGGTAGTTTGTATTTACATATTTCAACGGTAAAGTTCCAAAAAATATTTAAATCTACCATCAGGTGAGCAGTATGCTCGTTTGTCCTCTGTGTTATAAAAAAAAGAGTCCAGTCGAGACTAAAATGTTTATACCGTGCAAGGAACGGAACCTGCGACCATCGGAAGTGCAACGCTGTACTTAACCACTAAACCACCGAGGCCAAAGTAAGCGAAGTTTCGCATTTGCATAACAATGAATGTATATAACAACACCGCATACGTTAAATGTAAAATTGTAGTTTTTTTTATGTGACCGGAATGGTAAACAGTCAAATGACCACCAATTGGAAAGTGGTAGTCATCTATGTTACAAGAACAACAGTTTGAGCATTACAAAATACCATTACACCGGTTACAAGGTACATTTAGATGTTTTAGAATATATTTCAACATCTGGATGAATGGCGGTCCTCCACAGTGAGGTTTTCTAGAAACTTTTTGCCTCGCACAACCACATTGTGGAATCACCTTCCAGCAATGGTATTTCCGAACCGATACGATATTGAAACCTTCAAGAAAAGAGCTTATTCCTTTTTAAAAGGCCGACAACGTACTTGCAATTCCCCTGGTGTTGCGGGTGCTCATGGGCGGTAATCACTTACCATCAGGTCAGCCGCATACTCGTTTGTCCTCTGTGTTATAAAAAAATATTTACTTGCCAACGCCAAGCTTGCAACTTTTCCTTCTTGCGATGAGTCTGCATTCGGAATGAGCGGTAGAATAAAACAATGAGACTATTCAAAAGTGCTTATAGTTTATTTCTATTTCCTTATTTAAATATTAATAAATATTATATTAGAAGTTTTTATTTTTTTATTTTTTATGGAAGATAATGGTATGGTGCACCCGCCTGCGCTAACGGTTTACGCTGGCGGGGCGCCAGTGGAGGATGATAAAATGAGCATGAGGTCAGGTCAGTTAGCTCATCGTGACAAATTCACTAGGAATTTATCACAATGATTTCCAGGGGGAACCACGTGGAGGTCAACCTGATATGGTGCATTGCTAGTAATGGGGTCATGAGTCCACATTACTAACAATCCCCTTCCCCCTTATATTAGAAGTTGAATTACGACGACCTCGGTGGTCTAGCGGTTTAGTCTACCGCTTTACGACCGATGGTCGCGGGTTCGATTCCTCGCACGGCACAAATATTTGTATTCATGAGTATTGTTGTTTGTATCGGTCTGGGTATTTTCTATGTATAATATGTATGTATTTACAAAAAAAAAATCTATGTATATGTATCAGTTGTCTAGGACCCATAACACAAGCTTTAGCTAGCTTAACTTGGGTCTAGATGGCGCTGTGTGAATTGTCCTGAGATTATTATTATTATTATATTATTATTAGATTCCTCGCCTCGATTTCGTAAATACATCCATATTATACATAGAAAATACCCAGACAGGTACAAACAATCTTAGTCATGAATACATATGTGCCGTGCGAGGAATCGAACCCGCGACAGTATAAGGCAGTGTCCTAAACCGCTAGACCTACCTTTGTGTTACCACTCCATAGAACTAAGCTCATTGGTCCTAACACGATGTCGAGAGTTGATATTACCTCTGTCTACCCATTCTGTGATCACAGTCGTGAAGGTACATGTATTTTAATTAGAAATGGTGATCAGCTGCCATCAACCATATAAGCACCATGTTTATCAAGCAGATAACGTACAAAAATCTTGTTTCACGACCTTGTCTTGTTTGGGTGTTTAAGAGCAGTTAATACCTCCTAAATTAAATGTGTATTTTTTTATGAATGATAATAATAAGATGCATCCGTCTGCGCTAACGGTTTACGCTGGTGAGGCACCAGTGGAGGATGATAAGATGAGCATGAGGTCAGGTCAGTTAGCCCATCGTGACAAATTCACCAGGAATTTATCACGATGATTACCAGGGGGAACCGCGTGGAGGTAAAATTGTGTGTATTAATTACTAGCTGTACTTGCGACTTCGTGCGCGTGGGATTTAACTTTATTTTTCTAAAATAAAACATTTTTTCTAAAATAACAGTAGTCTAAGTTACTCCTTATTACATCAGCTACGTGCCAAAAAATTTCTGTCAAAATCGGTCCAGCCGTTTTAGAGATTAGCCGGAACAAACAAACAGACAGACAAAAATTGTAAAAAATGTTATTTTAGTATAGTATGTACCGCATTTATATTCAGATTGTCTGTTTGTAATATTGCAATAACCGTTTTTTACTACATGCATATGAATATAAATACGGTACATACACCAAAATAACAATTTTTACAATTCTGGTCTGTCTGTCTGTTTGTTAATCTCTGAAATGACTGGACCGATTTTGACGGAACTTTTATTGGCAGGTAGCTAATGTAATAATGAGTAACTTAGTTAATTTTAGAAAAATAAAGTTAAAATCCACGCGGACGAAATCGCGAGTACAGCCAGTCATAAATATATCTCATATTAAACAGGTTCCTAAATCGAACTGGCGACTCTATATAGATCCAACGCCAGGTCACTATCCTCAAAGGATGCTGCGGCAGTATGGCGGCGCACGCGCAGCCGCTTGATCGTGTCTCACCTCGTATCTCAGTTGTATTCATTTAAAAAAAAGGTATGTGTTTTTTTTATATCATTCATTCATAATTTAAGAGCTGTGCTCTTGTCGGTGGAGCTCCCTCAATCTTCCACGATCTTCTATCAGTATTAACTGTTGATATGACAAACTCCAACTTTTTCCTTAACTTGTTTGATGTAGGTGTGCTCTATTATATATATTACTGGCTACTCGCCCCGGTTTCGCACGGGTGTATATGTATTTTACATATAAACCTTCCTCTTGAATCACTCTATCTATTTAAAAAACCGCTTCAAAATCCGTTGCGTAGTTTTAAAGATTTATGCATACATAGGGACGGACAGACAGCGACAGCGACTTTGTTTTATACTATATAATGATTACCCTTAAAACAAATGTTCCATATCTATACATATAAAGAAAATTTGAGTGTCTGTTTGTAATATTAAAAATCCATGTGTTTTACTACATGCATATGAATATAAATAGGGTACATACACCAAAATAACATTTTTTTTAATTTTTGTCTGTCTGTCTGTCTGTTTGTTCCGGCTAATCTCTGAAATGGCTGGACCGATTTTGACGGGACTTTTTTTGGCAGGTAGCTGATTTAATAAGTAACTTAGGCTACTTTGATTTTAGAAAAATAAAGTTAAATTACACACAGACGGAGTCGCAAGGAATTTCATAATCACTTAGTATTGTATATAATTAACCAATCAATGTAATTAAATATTGAAGTACACTGAGTTAGTACACTCATTAGTTTTAAATTATATTATTGTATGGGCAACAGTTGTATTGTGTGAAAAGTTTTTGTTTGACACAAATAAAGATTATTATTATTATTTCTTTATATATATTATATATCTCCCTTTGATGAGGTAATAGACTGATCATTGCGGGTAAAAATCACCAAACAATGACGGTATAAATTATGAATGATGAGGATGGAAAATTTTTAAGTGGAAGACAAAAATTTGCGTTTATTCTACAAGTGCTTAATATTACAGCTTTCTGGAGAAGGATTATGATTATTATTATTATTATTTAGTTTTTTAAAATTACATATATTTTTCCCGTTTTTTTTTTATGACTGGAATGATAACTACTATCAGATGGTAAATTTACCACTTACCAGCATCACGGTCAGTGGAAATGCATTGTAATGTATGTATTATTAAATGTCGTTGCCATTTAGAGACTAAGATGCTGTGCAATGCAAGTTACTTGCTCGTTATTCTTGTGATAAGTCTGTTCCCAATGAGTGGTGGAATAAAAAATTATGACCATTCAAAAGTGCTTGGTACAAAAGTACAGTACAGTAGTATTTAAAAAAAAAACTGAGCGATATCTTGCCAACAAACTGTTCTACAGTTTGGCGAGTCAATGTATAAAAACAGCTGTACAATTATCTTTATTAAATAAATTAAAAAAAAATACCCTAAATTTAAAAAGAAATTAAAAAAGGTGCTTATTTTTAAAGTTTTACTTTTAGTATTCGTCCGAGTGGAATTTAACTTTATTTTTCTAAAATAAAAGTAGCCTAAGTTACTCCTTATTAGATTAGCTACCTGCCAATAAAAGTCCCGTCAAAATCGGTCCAGCCATTTCAGAGATCAGCCGGAACAAACAGCCAGACAGACAAAAATTGTAAAAAATGTTATTTTGGTGTATGTACCGTATTTATATTCATATGCATGTAGTAAAAAACGGTTATTTCAATATTACAAACAGACACTCCAATTTTATATATATGTATAGATGTATAGATAAAGGTATTTACCTATATCGATGTTTCGACTAGGCTGCACTAGACATAGATTCAAATAAAAACGAAGTTTATTTGCATAAAGATTATTTCTATTACTATCAAATCCAATCGTAATAATTATAAATCAATATATTAAAAAAAGAATCATACAAATGAAATACATATAGATTTTTTATAGATATCTAAATAAATATTTACTAGTTGAAAACCTATTTATATATTTCGAATTCAATTGTAATACAAAAAGAATCATACTGTTGAAATATTTTTTACCTTTTACCTTTTTTTGACAGTTTATTTAACATACAACAGTTGCAAAAACAGTCATAAAATTTATAGAGATTTTTTATAGATATCTAAATATATATTTTACAATTCAGAATCTTCTTTTTTTATGGTTTATTTATCATGCAACAACTGCAAAAAGAATCATAAAATCGGTTTCAGATTTAAGTCGAAATATCAGAGAAAATACATTTATTATTATAAATTTATATCTTAAAATTGTCAGAAAGCGGTCTGTTTGTTTGTTTCGTGTAAAATTTGCGTTGAATCTTTGAGCGTCATGAGTTTATTGACTCCTTAAAATGTATTCATGAGGATGTGTGAGTGTATGCGAGTATGACGATACCACATTTTATTATACTAGTCAACGTGCCCTGGCTTTGTACACGTAAAAAGGCTATAAAAGTTATAGGTTATAAATTATTTTAGGTTTTTTTCTTCATAATAATAATAATCTCAGGACAATTCACACAGCGCCATCTAGACCCAAGTTAGCTAAAGCTTGTGTTATGGGTACTAGACAACTGATACAAATACATAGATTTTTTTTCGTAAATACATACATATTATACATAGAAAATACCCAGACCGATACAATCATACTCATGAATACAAATGTTTGTGCCGTGCGAGGAATCGAACCCGCGACCATCGGACGTAAAGCGGTGTGCTAGACCGCTAGACCACCGAGGTCGTCAATCTTATATGGAGAAAGGAGTGGACGACCCAAAAAAGATGGATGGATTCTGTAAGACATATGTGTGATCTCTATCTTTCTCTATTCTTTATCATTTCTTTTAAACCTTTTATGGGAATGGATATAAAATTTATATAATAAGATACCAAAGGATAAATTACAATTATCTTTAAATTTAAAACATCTGTTAAATAATATTTATTGAGCGTAGTTCATTACTCACTAAACGATTACTTGAATGACAAACGTGATTTTCATTTAATGTTACACATAGACACCTATATAAGCATAACTTATACATATAAATAAAATTGGAGTGTCTGTTTGTAATATTGAAATAACCATTTTTTATTACTTGGAATGTAATTACGGTACATACACCAAAATAATATTTTTTACAATGTTGTCTGTTTGTTCCGTCTAATCTCTGAAATGGCTGGACCGATTTTGACGGGACTTCTTTTGGCAGGTAGCTGATGTAATAAGGAGTAACTTAAGCTACTTTTATTTTAGAAAAATAAAGTTAACATCCACGCGGACGAAGTCGCGTGTACAGCTAGTTATAAATATATCTACTATACAACTCTGTATATTTATTATAGAAACTATTATATGTAATATAACAATAGTGTAAAACAAAGTCGCTGTCGCTGTCTGTCCGTCCCTATGTGTGCTTAAATCTTTAAAACTACGCAACGGATTTTGAAGCGTTTTTTTTAAAGAGTGATTCAAGAGGAATTGTGGGTTTTATTACGTTGATATTATAGATTCCTGGTGAAGTATGAACGCGGCACTAGTATAATAGAAATAGAATAGAATAGAATAGAAAATCATTTATTCAAATATACTTAATTTAAGCACTTATGAACAGTCATAGCAATTTGTTTTTTATCTACCACTCGTTCGGAAAGCTGTCTCATCACAAGAAGAACGAGCAAGAAACTTGTGTGTTGCTCTTTAAAATAATTTATTCTTACTTACAATTTAAGTTTAAGTGTGTGAATACAAACCACCGATTATCACTAATTCAATGAAATAATAAAATAGAAAAAAACATTCAATATACAACAACTGGTTAAACAATTAATAAGAGAAAATAAGTCATAGTGATTAGAGCAGACCAGTCCACACAAGCAGCACCCGTTCACGAGTATGACGGATGAGCCAGCCACCATTGCGCTCGACCATATTTTAGGGACCCCAGTGACTCGGCTTACAAGTCGAAACGTGTGAATACAAACTACCAACCAACACTAATTTTTGGGTCAAATATAAATATACATATAATAATCCAATAGTAAAGATACACACAATATGCCCCAAATACCGTACAGGTTCAAGAAACAAGACTGTGTTTACCGTTATGTTCACCGAATAGCCCAGGTTCGATTTCAATCACGCATTTAATAAGAGTAATAGAACTGCATACTGTATATAGGTTATATTCGAGTTTGTAAGTTCATTTTAGTTTAATCTATACATCTATACATATAAATAAAATTGGAGTGTCTGTTTGTAATATTGAACTAACCGCTTTTTACATGCATATGAATATAAATATGGTACATACACAAAAATGACATCTTTTACAATTTTTCTCTGTCTGTTTGTTCCGGCTAATCTCTGAAATGGCTAGACCGATTTTGACGGGACTTTTTGGCAGGTAGCTGATATAATAAGGAGTAACTTAGGCTAGTCTTATTTAAGAAAATTTCTTTTATTATACAAAAATAAAATTCCACGCGGACGAAGGCGCGGGTGCAGCTAGTATAGTAATAATCTTGAACACATCGCCAACTAATTCCAATTTAAGCAAAACCTTTGAATAGGTACTACTAAACAACTGTTAAAGATATTTAAAAATATTTTTTTTTATTACATACAAAAAACTTTCTAAATATATCTATGACAAAAAAATATAATATAAAAAAATTTTCGTTCATAAGCGGCTAAAGTGTCCTGGATTTGATTTGATTTGATTTGACATTTCTGTCTTTTATAAAAGTCAAGATTTTTATAAAATTTATATAAGATTTTTATGAATGACAAGACTCGAATGGAAATTCATTTTTTTATTAGCTTGCTTGCAGTAATTATAATAATAATATTAAAAGACACTCACACAGCATCATCTAGTCCCAAATCATCAAGTCTCAATAATAGGGGATAGCGGATTGTTAGTAATGTGGACGTATATCCCCATTGCTGGTAATGTACCATGTCAGGTCCACCTCCACCCGGTTCCCTCTGGAAACCATCGTGATAAATTCCTGGTGAATTTGTCACGATGGGCTAACTGACCTTACCTCATGTTCATCTTATCATCCTCCACTGGTGCCCGTCAGCTTAAACCGTTAGCGCAGGCGGGTGCACCATTCCATTATCATCCATAAAAAAAGTCCTAATTACAAAAATTGTGATTTTTATATGAACGAATTTAAAAAATCATCAAGGATGACGATTTTCTTTGTTATTGTAATTTATTTTATTATTGACTAGCTTTTGCCCGCGGCATGCTCGCGTTAATTTATCCCGTTTGGGGTGGAATTTATCAAAATCCTTTTTTAGGGGAGGCCTACCTCATAGTAGCTTTATGCATACAAAGTCTCAGCCCGATCGGTTTAAAATTGACAAAGTTTCATACGAACTTTAATCCCCTATTTTATCCCATTGGGGATAAAATTAATCAAAATCCTTTCTTAGCGGATGCCTACGTCATAACATCTACCTGCATGTCAAATTTCAGCCCGATCCGTCCCGTGGTTTGGGCTCTGCGTTGATAGATCACTATGTCAGTCACCTTTGAGTTATATATATTTAGAAGAAGAAGATAATCAATATTTATTCATAAAGTTATTCTGGCTTATGTCATACGTCTAATGCTAGTTCAGAAGCCAGGACTACACATAAATACGGAAAGGATTTATTGTCTAGAAAGTGTACCTATTGTATAATTAATATTATAATGATACGTCTGAATTAAATAAAGATTATTATTATATATATAAAGTGCTTATAATTTTGCATGCCAAAAAATGGCGAAATATTTGGACAATTATTTAAAGACATTCTTTTAATATTTATACCACACTAGCTACTCGCCCCGGCTTCTTCCGGGTGTACATGTATTATACATATAAACCTTCCTCTTGAATCACTCTATCTATTAAAAAAACCGCTTCAAAATCCGTTGCGTAGTTTTAAAGATTTAAGCATACATAGGGACAGACAGCGGCAGCGACTTTGTTTTATATTATGACTAGCTACTCGCCCCGGCGTCGCTTGAGTGTACATGTATTATTATACGTGTAAACCTTCCTCTTTGATCACTCTGTCTATTTAAAAAAGACAGCGACAGCGACTTTGTTTTATACTATGTAATGATTTCATGCAAATAAATATATTTCATTTCATTTAATTTTCGATAGATATATTTAAGTGTAAGTATGTCTGTCAGTTACAATAACATTTATTGTTTGAATAAATAGAATTTCATTCATTCATTCCATTTTTTTACAGATAACCAAGATGTTTCGGTATATAATGTTCACGGTGTTGCTCCTGCAACTAGCCAAGTTGACTCTGGTAAGATTGTTTTTTTTACTTTTATTTTGTTGTCTTATTTCGTTGGTATGAACTTTCATCCCTTTCAAATTCAAAATTGAAAAAATCATTTATTCATGTAGGACATTTCAGCCGCTTATGAACGTCAAGTTTTTACATTACAATTTTTTTTTCCCTACCGTCCAGTTCGGTATATAGATCCAATTGAGAAGAACTGGCAAGAAACTCAATTGAATTACTTTTTTTTTTAAATCCTGTTTTTACAATGTATAGGTATTTATATAGGTGTCTATGTCTAACATTAAATGAAAATCCCGAACATGAAAACTATTGCCATGCACGCTCGTCATTCAAGTAATCGTTTAGTGAGTAATAGGCTTTGCTCAGTAAATATGATTTAACAGAAGTTTTGAATTTATTTAAGGGTAATTCCAACATATCCTTTGGTATCTTATTGTAAATTTTTATACCTATTCCCATAAAAGACCTATTGACTTATACATAATCTTTATTAAAATAACCGTAATAGAAAGACTTTTGATAAATAGTTATATATTTTTCTATTCTACCGCTCATTCGGAAAACAGACTCATTAAGAAGAATGAGCTTGAAACTTGCATGTTGCTCATTTAGATAATGTTGTTCAGAATTACATATTTAAGATGTTATGTAAATATAAAATTATTTATTATACAATAAATATTTATTTTAATAATGATTTTTCTTTCCTGTGATCTGAAATAAGAGTAAGCCATATAAAATAACTAAATAGATAGGTAAATCCGTTATTCACTACAAAATGAAGAATATATTTTTATCTAATGTATCGTCACCTTTCTATTTCTACGTATCCCTATAGTATTAGTTGTAGAACCAGAGATTAAGACAAAATCTGTAAAAAAAAGAGTGTGTGTAAATTATTCCAAGTGAAAAGCCTGGAATTTAACATATGGGATGACTTGTGGATCAGACACCCTAGCCTCAATTCACTATTTTTATTTCCCTATCTGACAATTACGCCTAATGTGATAATTTCCATACATCTAAACAAAAAAAAAATTATAGAATCGGTCATTCACTTCAGAATAAAAAATATATTTTATCCAATGTATAGAAAAAAAGATTATTAAAGATTTTTTAATTTTTCCCAATAATACTAATTTGGTTATTTGCATATATCAAAAAATGTTTGGTTTAGTGATGTTATACCACGATATAGAATCATTTATATTTTTTTTATATTATATATATATTATATTTATATATTTATAAACTCACTCAACTACATATAAATATGTAGTGAGGAGTACAACAAATTATTAATAAGCAGTAAAAATTACAGGATACAACTCCATCATGGTATCCAAGAGTATTTACCTTTCACACAAAACGAAACGTAATCGAGTTTTAGTTTTGTACAGCGCCATCTAGTGTTTGAGCATAGAACTATTAAGCAGAGACGCACTCTGTGGCCTGGCGAATTAGCACACTGTTCTACTATCTCTTAGTCATGGATTTGATTTCTCTTACAATGCAAAGATATGTATTCATGAGTAAAATTGTATTGTTCTTGATGTTTTCTATGTAATTGTGTATTGTATGTATTATTATGTATGTAGTCATCATATTATATATATTTTTTAAGCTTTTTAATTTTAGGTTTTTAGTTGTACAATTAGGTTATGTAAATACTAGTAATAAATTTAAATTAATATATTATAATAATATATAATATTGAAATAAATAAATTAGACATAATTAAGTAGATAGAATTGTGTTTTTATATCATTACATAGTATAAAACAAAGTCGCTGTCGCTGTCTGTCCGTCCCTATGTATGCTTAATTCTTTAAAACTACGCAACGGATTTTGAAGCGGTTTTTTTTAATAGACAGAGTGATTCTAGAGGAAGGTTTATATATATATCATACATGTACACCCATACGAAGCTGGGATGAGTAGCTAGTATAGTATAAAACAAAGTCGCTGTCGTTGTTTCTCCCTATCCTAAGTATTAAATCTTTAAAACTACGTAACGGATTTCCAAGCGGTTTTTTTTAATAGACAGAGTGATTCTAGTGGAAGATTTATATATATCATACATGTACACCCGTGCGAAGCTGGGATGAGTAGCTAGTATAGTATAAAACAAAGTCGCTGTCGTTGTTTCTCCCTATCCTAAGTATTAAATCTTTAAAACTACGTAACGGATTTCCAAGCGGTTTTTTTTAATAGACAGAGTGATTCTAGAGGAAGGTTTATATATATATCATACATGTACACCCGTACGATGCTGGGATGATATAGTATAGTATAAAACAAAGTCGCTGTCGTTGTTTCTCTATCCTAAGTATTAAATCTTTAAAACTACGTAACGGATTTCCAAGCGGTTTTTTTTAATAGACAGAGTGATTCTAGTGGAAGATTTATATATATCATACATGTACACCCGTGCGAAGCTGGGATGAGTAGCTAGTATAGTATAAAACAAAGTCGCTGTCGCTGTCTGTCCCTACCCTATGTATTAAATATTTAAAACTACGCAACGGATTTTGAAGCGGTTTTTTTTAATAGATAGAGTGATTCTAGAGGAAGGTTTATATATATATCATACATGTACACCCATACGAAGCTGGGATGAGTAGCTAGTATAGTATAAAACAAAGTCGCTGTCGCTGTCTGTCCGTCCCTATGTATGCTTAATTCTTTAAAACTACGCAACGGATTTTGAAGCGGTTTTTTTTAATAGAATTTGATTCTAGAGGAAGGTTTATATAAATATCATACATGTACACCTTCATGCTGGGATCATCTTATAGTATAAAACAAAGTCGCTGTCGCTGTCTGTCCCTACCCTATGTATTAAATATTTAAAACTCAACGGATTTTGGTTTTTTTTAATAATAGAGTGATTCTTCCCCCTCCCCCATCCCCCAATCTCACGTGAGATTTGGACGTAAACGCGTTGGATTGTTATTGTAAAAAGAAAAAAAAATTGCTTCGTGCTTTTATTTACGACTAGTTAAGACTAGTAATCAATATTGCTGAAAGTTATAAGTGTAATAAGCATGTACAATCTGGATGTACAAAATGGACCAAAATAGTATCATTTTTTTTTTCTTCCTATCAGAAAAAAATGCGTGATATCTGCCGCGACCCCCCTCTCCAACGTAAGACTTAAACATCTCATGTAATTTTGTCATGATGGGCTAACTGACCATTTTCAAATTGAACAAACATACAAATCTCATGTTCATCTTAAGCGCATAAATTACGTGAGATGTTACATATACATAGATTTTTTTGTAAGTTTACATGAAAACACTCAGACCCAAACAATCCTCCTGGTGAGATGTAAAGCGGTGTGTGAGATCAATATTTATCCAAATTCATATGTTGTTGATGATGCATATGTTGATCAATAGCAATAAACTATTTGAGTATTCGTTCCCTACTTCAACAAATATTGTGCGTAAGACTTAAACATCTCATGTAATTTATGGACGCCCCTTATCATCCTCCACTGGTGCCCCTAAAAAAATATGACTCGCCGCTAGCTCATCCGTCAAACCGTTAGTGCAGGCGAGTGCACCATTTGATTTTCAAATTAGTGAATGATTCACACATACGGCAAATCTAGGCAACACACCAGATCTTGCTTTATAATAATAATAATAATAATCTCAATGTAAGTTTATAAATAGGACAATTCACACAGCGCCATCTAGACCCAATAAGTTAAGCAATAAATATGCAATTAATAATTTAATAAAAATGTCATAAAAATAAAATGTCCAAAATACAGATACTAATATAATTTACATAAAGATAATATATATATATATATACTAGCTGTGACGGCAAACGTTATTTTGCCTTAAATTAAAAAAAAACTTTAGGGGTGGACTACCCCTAACATTTTGGGGGATGAAAAATAGATGTTGGCTGATTCTCAGACCTACTCAATACGCTCACAAAATTTCATGAGAATCGGTCAAGCCGTTTCGGTGGAGTATGGGAACGAAAACTGTGACACGAGAATTTTATATATAAGATATGTACTTGAATACCTTTTAGTTTACTTGAATAAATGATTTTCTATTATATTCTATTAATAGAATAGAATAAAGGAAATTCTTTAAACATGAGGAATTTCTTTAAAGAAATTCCTCGTGTTATTTCGTTAGAAAAGTGAAATGTAGTTGAAACCAAATTTCACAGGAGCTGCGAAACGAAAGAGTACTCATAAATAATTCATGTGCTATGTCGTAATTGAAGTAAAGTGTGGCTGTTTCGTTGTATACGTGTCTTGACTGACAAAATGTAGTCCTTACGGTTTATATGACTTACTTTCAGCTGAAATATGTGTAAAAAAAACCCTGGACAATTAACACAGCGCCATCTAGTCCAGTGGTAAGCAAAACTTGTGTTATGGGTACTAGATAATTGATATAAATACTTTTTTTACCTATCCTAATGATAGGCGTATTTAAAAAAAAATATTATTATTACATAGTATAAAACAAAGTCGCTGTCGTTGTCTGTTCGTCTATGTGCTTAAATCTTTACAACTACGCAACGGATTTTGAAGCGTTTTTTTTAAATTGATAAAGTGATTCAAGAGGAACGTATATATATAATGCATTTACACCCGTGCAAAGCCGGGGTATTTTATATAGTATAAAGTATTTTATAATATAAAGCTGAAGAGTTTTTTTGTTTGTTTGAACGCGCTAATCTTAGGAACTACTGGTTCGAATTGAAATTTTTTTTTGTGTTGGATAGTCCATTTGGCGTGCCGAGACTTTACATGAGGCATTCCTTAAGAAAGGATTTTTGATAAATTTCACCCCTAAGGGGATAATATAGGGGATGAAAGTTTGTATAAATCTTCTTAGATTTTCGACTGATTGAACTGAAATTAAAGATTAGAGCTAATATGCCGAAGACGTTCGCTTAAATAGGATTTTGATAAATTCAACCCCCATGGGGTTAAAATAAGGGATGATGCAGGATGTAAATGTATTAATTTGAACCTATCAGTACCTAATGAAACAAATAAATTAAGACGAACAAAGCAATTTTTAGCTCTTTAGGCTACTTTTATTTTAGAAAAATAAAGTTAAATTCCACACGGACGAAGTCGCGGGAATAGCTAGTAGATTAATAATAATATTTATTTTGCATCCAATATTTACAATTTAAATGATTCCCCTGTACCTGAACAAAGAAGAAACTTGTATTTTAGGCAGCAAATATATATGAACATAAATTATTTGACATGAGTGTACGTAATTTTAATTTCTGTGAATACATCGTGGTACCCCAAGGGGGTTAATTGAAAGTATCATTAAAGTCACAAACAAAAGAATTCTAAATGAAGCAACGGCTAATCGGATTATGTCCATTCATTAAAAAACAATTTGTAAAAGAACATACCACATTGTGCCGCTACGTTACATTTTTATAACTAGTTATATCCAGCGGCGTTGCTTATGTGAATTCGTATTAAAAGTATTCTATATGTTAATGAAACATGATCTATTAACGCCCCTTGGGGGTCTAGCGGTTTAGTATACCACTTTACTTCTGGTCGCGGGTACGATTCCTTGCACGCTCAAAACATTTGTATTCATAAGTGTGATTTAGGTAATTTAGGTGTTTTCTATGTATAAAAGGTATGGATTTAAAAAAATGTGTGTATGTATTTATATCAAAGGTATAATACCTATATTACGAGCTGTGCTTAGCTTGGGACTAGATGGCGCTGTGTAAAATGTCCAGAGTTATTATTATTATTGATAAGTCTTTTTTAAAACCCTACCACGTAATCTCTAGAATAAATAAAGACAATTTAATTTTATTCATGAATATTTCTATTAAATTCCAGGTGGAAGCAGCAAAGCAAGACCTCAAGCTCTCAGATTCATACCTGCCAGTAGCCATGCAGGTCATAGCTCATCTAACAGACCAAATGGCCTTCGAAGTCAAGGATGAACCGACTGCCAAGCCGGTGAAACCAAGTACTACAACCTCCAAACCAACCAGTCGACCAGTGTACGTGGGAATCAACCCAGGGTTCCAAATTTATCCAAACGGATGGTTTATGCACTATGGTATTGGCTTGAATAGGTGATGGTCTTCCTCTATCTTGCAACTCTTCTTTCAGCGGAGCTGTCCTTGATATACTTTTTCTGAATTCTGGAACTATACTATTTTGTCGTCTTGAAGAGTAATCGTCTGTCATGGTATGGGCATGTAATGCGTAGAAATGTTGAAATTACGGTGTTAGTATGTGTTACATGTGGATGGTTATAAGGGCAGGGAAACCTCGGAAAAGAGATGGATGGTCGGTGTGAAAGAGATAGAAATGATCTTCATAATATTCATTCTGAAGGCTGCCGGGTAGATCGTAAGGTAAAGAGAGATATTCCGAGCAGGTCCCGAGAGTTGTAAACGAGATGGATGGACTGTGTAAGAGAGAGAGACGAACTTTTTAATATTCCATGGAGTAAGGATGGAGCAGTTCCCGGGACTTGTGGCTCGAGTGTAGGTTTAAGGGGCTCTTTGCCGCCGTACATCAACATTCACCTTTAGAATACCTTCACCACTCGTGTGTCTCTACCTGCCCAGCATAATCTGGTGCAAGCCTGCTAGTGCAGATTGATATGGCAAGAAAGGGAGTGAATAACGAGAAGAATGGAAGAGAATAACATATTACGGTAATGCTAAATGAATGGGATAAGGAAGAAGCAGATGTTGACCCACTTTTGTCGAATGCGTGGGTACATCATCTCCTACTTCTATCAAGCTTACTTTGTAAGTTGTTTAGTTGTAGTCATGACATTTTAGTCTTATGGCATGACAATGTATGAGGATTTCCAGGGAATGTCGTGACTTGACAGCCGTGGTACTGTGCATGTACTATTAAGGAGAAAGTTTCTACAGCCATCAGTATGTTTCCCGTTTCCATTACATTAAAAAATCTTTTCTAATATTAGTGCCTGTTTCAAACTCTATTGCTTTTTAACCAGCAAGTTATACACTACATGCTTACTAGTATATTTCTAGTGCAATTATAACATCTTATATATAAAATTCTCGTGTTACAGTTTTCGTTCCCATACTCCTCCGCAACGGCTTGACCGATTCTCATGAGATTTTGTGAGCGTATTGAGTAGGTCTGAGAATCGGCCAACATCTATTTTTCATCCCCCTAAATGTTAGGGGTAGTCCACCCCTAATTTTTATTTTATTTTAAGGCTAAACAACGTTTGCCGGGACAGCATAATATATAATATGTAAAGTTCTCGAGTCAAAGTGTTTGTAACAAAACTTCTCCGAAAGGGATTGACCAATTCTTATGGAATTTTGTGTATATATTCAAGTGGTCTGAGAATGGCAAATAAAGTATTTTTCATTACCCTAATTGATAAGAATCGATGGCGACAAAATGTTTAAACATCGATAAATCTGAAAACACCGATTGCAAACTAAAAATTAATCCTAGACACGGCGGCAGGTTCGCTTCCTGACGCCTTGTTTATAAATATACTTAGCTAAAAATGGGTAAATTGTAATATAAAAAAAAACAAGTGTTGCATACATATTCATAATGCCGATAATTGACAATGTTTTTTTATTTGATTTGATCAGTACTGAAATTTCAAAATAATATTTTCATAGCTCATTTAATCATTATATTGACTCTACATATATCTTATACTTTTAGGTTAGAACACTTTACTCTTCAGAATCTACAGATACTACTTCTACTTACTACCTAGTATCCGTACACTTAATATTAGGTACATAATATCTCCTACCAAATAACACTTATTGATAATAAAATATAATTCCTGTATTATTCACCTTACAGATTATCGATGACCACACCATTCCACAGACCAGGACTCTTCGCACCACCAACTCCTCCCAAACCTTCCGACAGAGTATCCCCAAAAGGCCAACATCGCTTCGTTCTGCTCCCTATAGAGTACAACTCTGAATATACCGTCATAGAACCAGAAGAAAAAAGAACTGAAGAGCCTCTTCTATCGATCCAGAACGAGGAGATCAAACCTCTAATGGAGCCAAATCCATCATCAGCTCCATTATTGCCACCACATTTCGAAACTGAAGTGAAATCTCAAGAGGACCTTAATGATGAAAACTTGCAATATTTATCAGAGAATGTTAGAGACATCATTCGGATGGCGAATGACCCTGATGATGAGAGATTAATAGAGTTGTCCGAGTTGAAAGCTGGACCACAGAAAGGTTCAGGTGGTAAGCTGTCATCGTCCAATTTGAGACTGCTGCTATTATATGACCTGTTGAGCAGAGAAGCAAAGAGACAAAAATTGTCTGATTATGTGGTAAGTCTTAAGAAATATTCTTATAGATTCGGACCTAAGGTCAAAGAATTCAAATATGGAAAAATAAATTGTGTAACAATTTATTACACGCTGATTCTACGGTGATGGGAACACTGGTATCATATCAATTTAATAATTGAGACTTGGTAGACTATCCGCCACATTAGATTCTAATAAACTCACGAAATATAGACATATCGATACGATATGTCTATATTTCGATACGATGGTTGGGAAAAATATATTAATACAAAAATACTTGACGTTTTTAAGGAGGTAAAATGTCCTACGTCAATAAATGATTTTTTGTTTAATTTGATCAGTACTGAAATTTCAAAGCTCATTTATTCATTATACTGACTCTATATCTTATACTCTTAGATTAGAACACTTTACTCTTCAGAATCTACAGATACTACTTCTTCATGTTATCCCATTTCATAGTTTGCTGTTATACTATTAAATTAAAACAGTTTAGTCTTCAGAATCTACTGTTACCACTTACTCTTCATGTTGCCACATTTCATCGTATGCTCTGTTTGTCTCTCAATCCTGTTACATAGAAGTACCTTTTCAATTCCAGGGTTTCTCACCATCAGTGATGCAATCACTTGCGGCGTCATCAAGTGGCGGAGCACGCGCTCAGCTTAGCATGGCCCTCTCCAAGATGGTGGACCGGAAGGACTGCGCGCACGACTACGCCAACAACCGAGCTAGAGAAATGGTCACCGAACTCGCTAAAGATGAATCCAAATTGTCTTCTGAACTGAGATATTTACAGCCACTTGTCTATGTTTATTAAGTAGTAAATTGTAGAATTCTTTGTCAATTAGGACATGTCATGATTGTTTTAAAGTATTTTCAAAGTTGTATACAATTTATACCGTGATAATTTATATTATTTTGTTTAATTCCTGCCTTTAGCATGTGTGAGATCACAAATATTCAGTGCGGAAAATTGACCACACTATTAGAAGCGTCGAGGTCTTCTAAAATCTGTGATCAAATTTCGACCGTTAGTAGATCTACATCTATTGCGACCAGACTACGACATACGTGACTTGTCGTTCTGGTCGCCCAACAGTCCACATTAGGCTTCCAAGATATATAGCTCTATTAAATATCTGATGCCCCGTTTAGAAGCGAAACACATATCGCAATATAGGTGAAGATCAGATAACTGTCGGAATTGGATCACCAATAAAGTTCTTAATGTTTCCGGTAGCAGTGGTCAGGTCTCATCAGCGAATATTCATATCGTAGCAGAATTAAACAAAATAATACATAATTCAATAAAATATTATCATAGTAAACATTCCGTTAATTTATTTACAAAAATCTTGGTTACTGGTCGACCCGTGGCCATGATAATTGTATAATTATAATCCAGATTAGGAAATATCATATTGGGAGCTCTAAAATAAATTACCATGGTACCTTAGCCCGTTTATATAATACGGACATTTCATCTTCGTTTGAAAACATATGTATTTTTGCATTGATTTGGGAATTATTAAAGATATGTAAATGTTTGACAGTTTCCAGAACAGATAATTCTCTTGCAGCAACTCTGGTATATAAAGAACTACTATGGTTTTTTTTTATATAAAGATCTCTCTATTCTCCAATCAATCCCCCATCCAATTCAAACGTGGATCAAAGTTACGGCCTGAGCCGAGGTTCGAACGGTCTAGCCCTCAATCGTACCCATCAGGCGGGAGTTAGCCTTAAGCTATTCCATAAGTCCTTCCATTTGGAGTGCCACCTACACTCGCCCGCTATCGTCCGGTGAAGCTATAAAGTCAGCTGCGGCCAACAAAAGGTCTCTTTATTATGCAAAAAATTACGAGTTTACTAGAAAGTGCTTCACCGTCTCTCGATTGCAATTATTATAGGGTTTCTTGTTGATAATATAATTTTCTATATATGTGAAATCATTATTAATATCGGTTAAGTAGTTTTTGAGTACCTATGAATAGATACACAAAAAATTGCATTTCTTCCTGGATTTTTTTTTATTTTTAATGATGGAAACTAATACATTCAAATGTACGCAGAAACAAAAAATATACAGTCTATGACCACAGACAACTAATGTTTAAGAGAGAGATAAAAAATACCTAATATATTTATATTATAATAAAAAATACATTTAAACTATTAAAATAATTAATTTAGGTATTATATTTTTTACTATTTAGTTTAAGGAAATTTAAAAATTATATTGAATAAAGAAAAATTAATATTGATGCAATTTTATTTCTAAATATTCTATAGAGTTGTTGTCTCAATGAGTTGAGACATGGTAGTATTTTACTACCAAATATTTTTTTTTAAACCCCGGGAACAAACGAGCATGCGGCTCACCTGATGGTAAGTGATTACCGCCGCCCATGAGCACCCGCAACACCAGGGGAATTGCAAGTACGTGGTCGGCCTTTTAAAAAGGAATAAGCTCTTTTCTTGAAGGTTTCAATATCGTATCAGTTCGGATATACCATTACTGGAAGGTGATTCCACAATATGGTTATGGAAATAGGTGACAATAACAATTTAGCATAGGGAAGGGGATTTAATATGAACTAACACCCCCCTTGTATGACCTCCACGCGGTTATCCCCGAACACCATCACCTTCCTGGTAAATTTTCCCCAATTTACAGGTACTGAACCTGTAAATTGAAACTTGTAGCTAATAGGCTTCAAAGTCTTAATCACCGACGTAAAGTAGCTTTGTCAATCCCGACCGGATCTCGCGAGATCTCTATTTTTAGGATCAATCCCGACGTATTATGACGAGATCCCGTTCGAGATTGTGCTGAAAAACAAAAAATATAATCACACGATTATATCGTCCACCAAGCTGTATTAATCAACATACAATCAAGATGACTTGCCTCTTTCAATGATTGCAGAAGATTTGAATTTACGTGCTGCACAAACTAATAAATCGCTTCAAGAGGAATTCGAACGAACCGTTTTGCAGCTTCTAAAATCTTTCCGTATATCCACGTCCACGAGCTTAGACAAATTAGAATCTACCATTAAAAAAGAAATGGATTTGTTTGAGTGTGGAGGAACTCGATTTTTGCAGTTTGCATATAATTTTCGCCACGCTGTTGCCAACAGCGTTGATCGAGGGCATCAGACATTGACAGGAGATGCCGTTTAGCAGATGAAACTATTAATACCCTTTGTTTTTTATCGAGTCATTTTCGAAAATCACTCTTTTTCCTAATTCCGACTTTGAAATGGCTTATTGTTTTGATTACCTAATTTACCTACGTTAATTTCCTACAACCGATTATTATTTAGTTGGTAACATTAAAGAATAAAGGTTTTTATTTTCTTTCGAGTAATATGTTATTTTAGTTAACCTCACTATCACAAACAAGAAGTTATTAGCTTTTTCAGTCATCTGAATTCAACGACCACGGGATCCCGAAGATTCCGGATCCCGTGGGATATTTCTAATCCGGGCAAGGTGGACTCGAGTCGGGATTGCATTCCCTGGTCAGCTTGTCTATCGGTGTTCTATAGGCTCCATTTTGGCGATGTGCTCAAGAACTGCAGGACCGATTCCTCGTGGAGACTGTTCCATCAACGTACAACAAGACGGGAGCAGCTCCACCCTTACACTATTGACATCCAGCTGCTCGAACGAACCGTTTTGCATCATCTTTGGATGACTCTGATGATGTCTATGATTACAACATTGGGTCTTTCAAGTCAAGAGTGAAGGCATTATTTGAGCTTGCCTGTAACAGCTTAGACCACATCATCACTTAACATCAGGTGATATTGTGGTCGAATGCGCTCAAATTTGAAAAAAAAAAATAGGGTAGGTGTATTTAACCGTTAGATCCCAAATTTCGTCTCATATTGATATTAAAATTGCAGTAATAATTACGTACAAAATAATCTATCTACAAATATTTCTGATATCTAAACAAAACTGTAGATTTTTATATATATTTATTTGCTATGGCACAGACATGAATTATATTACACATTTTTATAAAATAATACAAATAGACATTAGTATATCAAAAGTACAAAATAACGAATCCAACAAAAAAAGAATGAAGTAATAAAAAAAAAGGGCCATTGCTGATATAAATATAAAATCATCTACATACTAAATTATTACGAAGATAAGCAACTAGCCTTTTTTGTGAAACAACGCATTTGAAAGAAGATAAATAATATATATAATAAGTGACAATTTGAACATACAATTATAAAAAATCACGGGATCTTAAAACAGTAAACTTTTTAAACGGTTTACTCGTGATCATGTCGGTTGAAACACTGCCGAAATATCGGGAACTCAATAAAAATAAATAAAACGTGGTAATATCCCGTTTTTTTAATGAACGCGTCGAATTTAAAACATATTACGATAATTTGAAGTACATAAAAATAGTATTAGCGAAATGCAAAAAAAATTACAACTGTCAGTTGTCAACTGTCAACCGATTGATATCATGGCTGTATGGGCAGAGTTCCCTTTGCATTTTCTCTTGAAGGATATAAATACAATAAAAAAAAAATTGTTCTATAAATAATATGTAATAATGATTGTGCATAAGATTGTGATTAATTTTAAATTATGACATTATAGATATTATTTTTAAGTTCTAACATATTCAAAATTTGCATGCCCATAAATTGGGGCAATTAAACAGTTGCCAAGAATATTATTACTGGACATATTACCATGACCAAACTGTTTTATGCAAATAAAACTTCATTTCATTTCCAGATCAATCGGTCAACGAGTCATCCTGTCAGTATTTAAGTCGCAAAACTGTGATATTCGCAGGCATTCCTTTGCCTTTTATAAACTATAAACAGTACAAAAAAAAATTGAGAGCCAGGTGCTACGAATTTCGCGCGTTCAGTTAGATTTAATAAAACTAGTCGCCCAGTGATACAAATAATTCCTTTAACAAAAAAAAAACAGATTGTCTAGTGCTACGATTTTCGCGCGCTCAACATTTTAACATTTAGTAAGTACTAAACAAATAATATTATAGACAAAAAATATTAATCTATTCTCAATTTGACCACAGACTTTAACAATAAACAAAAGAGTATATATGCATTTCTGTGTCAATTATATGGTAGTGTGTGTAATGTTTTTTTATTGATTTAATATTTTATGCATAATAAAAAAAAACATTAGCATTCTGCACTCCTTTAGTGTATCTAAATATATAAAACTCAAAGGTGACAGACATAGTGATCTATCAACGCATAGCCCAAACCACTGGACGGATCGGCCTGAAATTTGGCATGCAGGTAGATGTTATGACGTAGGCATCCGCTAAGAAAGGATTTTGATTAATTCTACCCCAAGGGGATAGGAAATAGGGGAGGAAAGTTTGTATGAAACTTTGTCAATTTTAAACCGATCGGGCTGAGACTTTGCATGCATAAGCTACTATAACGTAGGCATCCCCTAAGAAAGAATTTTGATTAATTCCACCCCTAAGGGGATAAATTAACGCGAGCGAAGCCGCGGGCAAAAGCTAGTAAACTATAAGTATGCGAAATTTCAGACTTCTTCGTCCGCGCATTTCGTGTAAAAAGTGGTACAAAGTTTTTGTTTCACTTATTAAAATATATATATTGGAAATTATCTCTAAATCTAGTATTAACAGTCAATAACAATTTTGTACAATACTTAATGGATTTGAATTATTTCATTTAACTATTCTACTGTGTATTAGCATGTGTGAGACCACAAACATTAACTTCGGAAACCTGACCACCGCTACTAGAAGCGTTACGACCTTTCCCTTTTGTGATCAAACTTGAATTAGTAGTTGGTAGTTTGTATTGACACATTTCAACTTAAAAATGTAAAGTTACTTCTAAATTATTTAAAAGAGCAACACGCAAGTTTCTTGCTCATTCTTCTTGTGATGAGATAGCTTTCCGAATGAGCGGTTAATTAAAAAAAATTGTGGTGACTATTCAAAAGTGCTTCAATGTAAGTTTATTTGAATAAATGATTTTCTATTCTATTCCGACCGTTAGCGGATCTATACCAATATTGCGACAAGTGCTTCGCCTCTGGACGAGTCATCATCAAGTAATAGAGTGTGAATACAGTTTGGAAGCCTGGTGTTGATTTTCGGCGACCATGACTTAATATCCTTTTCATTCTTCCTTTATTCTGAATGTAATGCGCTATATTTTGGTCTGTGCTTTTTATTATTTACTTAAATTTCATTACTAAATCGTACATTCATATAATACAATGATATAATAATCATCTCAAGAAAACTAGTTCTCGTCGTTCCTCGAGGGTTTAAAGAACGCTAGCAAACCACCCCACACCAATTGCACGATGCTACCTAACAGTTCTAAAATATAAACGAAGTTGTTCTCCCTAGGTTTCTCCTCGATATCATCAAAATCTAATAAATCATCATCGTCATCATCACCGATTTCATTCAGTGTATCATTTCCCTCGCTTATCTGTTTTACAGGTAAGTAACTGGAGTATAATACAATCTTTTCAGGTTTCTTGTCTACTTTCTTTAAGGCTTCGACTGAAAGTTCTTCGACGTCTTTGTCTTCTTCTATATCGTTGTCCACAGCAGACAGCACCATCTTGGTGACATCTTCAGTGGATTCATCTAGGAGTTCGATTTTGTCCCATGGTTTCTTTGTTGTCGCATTGTCTGATTTTGTATGATTTATGCCGAGGAATCTGAAAACACATAAATAATATCTTAGTATTTTATTAATATCTATATGTTTTGACGGCCTAGGCAGTCTAGTGGTTTAGCATACCGCCTTGCATTCGATGGTCGCGGGTTCGATTCCTCCCACGGTACAAACATTTGCATTCATGAGTATGTTTATTTATATTGATCTAGGTGTTTATTACGTATGTATTTACCATAAAAATCTATGTATTTATGTTAGGTATTTAGTATCACTAACTTGTGTTAGGGATCTGCTTGCCTTGGGACTAGAGGCCGTTGTGTGAATTGTTCTTATGAAAGTTACAATAATTATTTAAAGCTTCACACAAATGTCTTACTCGTTCTTCTTGTGATTAGAGAGCTTTCGCAGTGCTTAAATTTATTTGAATAAAGATTTTTCTATTCTATTCTATTCTGTCACATTCGTCCCTGAGCATACACATGAGCACTAAAACCAATTTATTATCAAAACCAAAGACAATTTCAATACCTGTAAATTGGAGAGGTGATTCTTTCAGCGATGTTGTTAGCTATCTGATGGTAGACATCGAAAGGCCTGCTGGTGCTGGCTGTGGTGGGCTGGGTGGTGTACACACTCACCACAGACTCCTCGGAGTCCACTGATCTGCCACAGCAGGGATGGAGCACCTGAAAGTTGAAAATTTGACTTTCAGTTCTATTCAACTTCGTCTGTGATACATTTTCTCCGTTTATGCAACATTTTTATCTCTCCTATTGGTCGTGGCGTGATGTTATATTTTTCATAGTATGACACAAAGTCGCTGTCGCTGCGTCCCTATGTATGTTGGATAAAACGTAACGGATTTTTAAGCGGTTTTTTTAATAAATAGAGTGATTTAAAGGTTGATTCAAGAGGAACGTTTATATGCATAATACACATACACCCGGTGTTATCAGTTTTCGATAAATGGAATATCCATCACTAAAAGAGTTTTGAAATCCGATTCCTAGTACCGGAGATTACTCCGAACATCCAAACTCACAAACTTTACCTCTATATAACATATAACGAAAGAAGTTATAAACTAGTAGCTGTGCTCGCGACTTCGTCCGCGTTGAATAGACTACGAATTTCGTTACAAAGTTTTACCTCTTATTCTATTTTACCCCCGTCAAGGGTAAATTTACAAACTTTGAATGTCATAGTTATTGTCTTTAATAATTGTATGAAAGCGGTTAATAATTTAAATAATGTATATTAAACACGAAAGTTTAAAAATCTGAAAAATAATGAATTTGAATGTCATAGTTATTTATGTTTATTGAAAAAGCCTAACAGTAAGTTTCAAGATTCTAGCTTTAAAAATGGCGATACTTTCGTACACCGTCTGCCGTACTACCGACCATCCGTTTGTACGCATTAAAAAGCAGCCTATATCCTTTTTTAGATTCTAGACTATCTATGCACCAAATTTCATTTCAATCGCATTGGTAGTTTTGGCGTAAAAGCGGGACAAACAGACGACAACTCAAAACGACTCACATCTTTATCGAAATATGGTACGAAGCGAGAACTATCAAGTTTCAAAGTTCAAAAGAATAATCTAAATCGGTTCACGTAGAAGACAAATTCTCACGATCAGAGATACATAGAAACGTCGTTTATATTATAGCGGAACTAAATTTCACTAGCTCATCTGTACGTTGTTAGAATATATTATTAATATCTTATATATAAAATTCTCGTGTCACAGTTTTCGTTCCCATACTCCTCCGAAACGGCTTGACCGATTCTCATGTGTTTGCAAATTTTGCATGCAGATTTTGTGAGCGTATTGAATAGGTCTGAGAATCGGCCAACATCTATTTTTCATCCCCCTAAATGTTAGGGGTAGTCCACCCCATAATTTTTTATTTTATTTTAAGGCAAAACAACGTTTGCCGGTACAGCTAGTAATAATAATAAAATAATATAGTATTAATATATAATAATATATTATTTAATCTTTGTCTGACTTGTAGGATTATGGTTGGTAGGTTATTCGAGGCAGTTGCGAAACTGAGATACGTAGACGAATCGCCATGGCTAAGACAGCAATGACCCAATTGAGCAAAGTATGGCGAAACAGAAACATCACCAACAACACCAAAATACACCTGATACGATCTGGTTTTCTCCACCCCGCTATATGGTGCAGAGACATGGACGCTCAAAGCCGCTGATAAGCAAAGAATTGACGCCTTTGAAATGTGGTGCTGGCGTCGACTGTCGAGGATGCCGTGGACAGCCCACTGTACAAACGTCTCTATACCAAAAGAGCTCAAATTGGAAGAGTCACGGCGTCTGTCTTCTACTTGTCTGCAACGCATTGCGCGATACTTCGGACACATTGCGCGGAGGAGTGTAGACAATATGGAAAGACTAAATCATACACACAAACAATCAGCCTCAGGGGCGCAATTACACACACACGCACACACACTCACACACACACACACACACACACACAACACACACACACACACACACACACACACACACACACACACACACACACACACACACACACACGCACACACACACACACGCACACACACACATAGGCCCACCCTTCTCAATGGTATTCCAACATTCTCTTTCCACAACCGTGTACTCTCTACTTTATTCATTTGCCTACTATTTTTTTAGTTTTTTTTTCTTTATATCTCTAAACGTTGTATAATTATAATTTATTTAGTGATGACAAATTATGATGTTTATACTAAAACATCATAATTTGTTTAACTTATATTAATTTATTTAATTTTTTTTTTCGGTTGGGGGCCTGGTGATCTGTATTACAGGTTATGCCTATCTCAGACACCAGCTCCTCGCTGCAAATCGATTCAAATAATAAATTTAAATATTTTACTATAAAGAATACTACATGTATTGTTGCCATCATGTTTGTGAGGAGAAATAAATAAATCATATTATTATTATTACTAATGGTAACAGGGAAGATAGAGAGTAAAAGACCTCGAGGCCGAAGTCCCACTCGATGGTCAGACCAGGTATCCCGTCAGTTAAACATTACTGTCAGCGCCATACACCAGGCGTCTGAGCGCAACCGATGGCGACAGCTGGTCGACAAGATACTGTAGAGTCGCGATCCTCAGCAGTGAGGGAACGATTAAGAAGAAGGATTATGGTGTTTGGAAGAATTCTTTCTGCAGTAGTTGCAGGATAAGAGGCATGAAGGAGGTGTGGGAAATGTAGGGAATTGTTAGTAATGTGGTTTGACGATCCCATTGCTAGCAATGGGATGTCAGTTGCCCTCCTCGCAGTTCCACCCAGTGCAGTCTTACACTGGCCTGACTTCATGTTCATCTTATCATCCACTGGTGCCCCGCCAGCGTAAACCGTTAGCACAGGCGGGCTTATCCTATACTTACTATGACATTCAAAGTTTGTAAACATTTTACCCTTGATTATGGTCATCATCATCAGCCCACTGCAGTCCACTGCTGGACATAAGCCTCCCCCAAGGCACTCCACTGGGCACGATCTTCAGCCCTTCTCATCCAGTTACTACCCGCAACCCTACGTAAGTCGTCGCTCCACCTAGCTGCGGGGCGTCCTACACTACGTTTGCCAATTTGCCAATTTGCCAATTTGCCAATTTGATTATGGTAATTTTGATAAAATAGAATAAGGGATAAAATTTTGTAAGGAAATTCGTCGTCCATAATATGGATTGCTGACCCCATGCTAGCAATGTAGCATATCAGGTTGACCTCCACGCGGTTCCCGTAGAAACTATCATGATAAGCTCCTAGGGAATTTGCCACGATGGATTAACTGACCTGACCTCATGCTCATCTTATCATCCTCCACTGGTGCCCCGCCACCGTAAACCGTCATGCCCCGTCAGCGCAGGCGGGTGCACCATTCCATTATCATCCATTAAAAAAAACGTAATGATTGTACAAGATTGAAGTCATTGCCAAGCTGCGGACGCGCAAGTATCAAGATACGTGATCAGCATATACATCGCTCGACATTGGCGCCAAGGATCAAGACGCGCGTGATATTGTCCTGCTACATTGTGTGTACTGATACTATGCACATAGACCGACGGACAAAATGTAACAATATATTTTTCAAACTACTCTAATTCCCGCAGCTGGCCTTTACAGCTTCACTGGACGATAGGGGGCGAGTGCAGATGGCACTCCAAACTAAGAAGGACTAATGGAGCAGATGACGGCCAACTCCCGCCTGACGGATACGACTTAGTCTGAGGGCACCGCTGGGGGTTCGAACCTCGGTTCAGGCCATGGTAATATCGATCCCCGTTTGAGTTGGACGGGGGACCAATCGAAGGGGATGATATATTAAGTATGAGTAAAAATGAGTGTCCTTAATCGCCAACAAACTGCAAAGCAATTTGGCGATGGCGATATAAAAATAAATTAAAAAAAATATGTATATATATATATATATTGCACTTAAATACATTATTATGTATATTAAGTAAACATAATGTTAACAAAGGAGGACTTATCTCTAAAAGAGGTCTCTTCCAGTCAACCCAATACAGCGCGGCATAAGAAGTGTTGAGTAGGTCAAAATGTGAAAATAATAATTTAATAAAAATGTCATAAATAATTAAAACTAAACATAAAAATATAATGTTTTGTACATTCACCAATAAAATATGCATAAAGTTAGACATAGACACCTATATATTTATTGTATATTTATATACATATACATTGTATATTTATATACATATACATAGTTTTTCTCAATTGGATCTATATACCGAACTGGACGGTAGGGAAAAAATTAAAATTATAATGTACAAAATTTGACGTTCATAAGCGGCTAAAATGTCCTACATGAATAAATGATTTTTTAATTTGAATTTGATACAATATTGACCTCATAACATAGGCCAAGTAAGAATCATCACTTTTGAAGTAGGTTAAATAATAATGCATAACCACTGCAATACCACAGCGCCATCTAGTCCCAAGCTAAGCAGAGCGTGTTATGGGTATTAAACAACTAATATAAATACATAGATACTTTTTTTTTGTAAATATGTATAACATATTTATTCATATGAATAAAATTGGAGTGTCTGTTTGTAATATTGAAATAACCGTTTTTTACTACATGCATATGAATATAAATACGGTACATACACCAAAATATGTGTTTGTTCCGTCTATTCTCTGAAATGGCTGGACCTATTTTGATGGACTTTTTTTGGCAGGTAGCTGATGTAATAAAGACTAATTTAGGCTACTTTTATTTTAGAAAATAAAGTTAATTCCACGCAGACGAATTCGCGGGAACAGCTAGTTATAAATAGAAAACACCCAGACCGATACAAACAATCATACTCATTAATACAAAACGGTACCGTTCGGTGAATCGAACCTGCGACCATCAGGTGTAAAGCGGTGTGTTAAACCGCTAGACCACCGAGGCAGTCAAAAAATTAAGCTACTGTTTTGTTTTAATGTCCCATGGATATGGTACGAACTAATCATATATTGTCTCCCACATATGGACATGCCAATAATTTTATATACGTAATCACTATTGTCATATTTTTTTTATATACTCATGGTAATTTGTCCCATACGCTCTAATTGCGCAAATGAACATGTTGGTACTTGTTTCATTTAACAGTGCTGATGTTTTTTTAAAGCTTAGGTTTCTTTCTTTCAGCTTTCTCTTAAAGAAAAACTGAAAATCTATAACACTGACAATATTATCTGATTACACTAATAATGAGTGCGTAGCGATTTCTATGTTGATTATCGCATGCCTCTTACTTGTTATACTGTGATTATTTATATAAAAAAACTATTCAAAAGAGCAACACACAAGTTTTTTGCTCATTCTTCTGGCATTCCGAATGAGTGGTAGAATCAAAATATGACTATTCAAAAGTGCTTGTAATGAGTTCATTTGAATAAAGATTGTTTCTATTTCTATTTAAATGACATATTATTTTTATTTAATTGTTATATACTTTTATTTAGAACAATGTTTGAATGTAGTAGCACTTGAGTCGATTTGGTTGCTCGCGAGTGTACTTGTTACCGACTTCGTCTGCAGAATCCTCAATCCTTTTATTCACCCCTCCCAGATTACTTTTCGAGATAACAGACAGTAATTCCACCCTCATAATGCAGTCTATACTTATATAAAATTTCATTAAAATCCGTTCAGTCGTGTAGTGCTAATGTTATTTCTGGACCGATACGATATTGAAACCTTCAAGAAAAGAGTTTTGTCCTTCTTAAAAGGCCGGCAACACACTTGCAATTCCTCTGGTATAGCGAAGTGATGAACTTACCATCAGGTTGGACGTAAGCTCGTTTGTTCCCTATGCTATAAAATAAACTTTCGTAGATAATATTAATAGAATTCGATACAGATAACTTACAACGTGGAGGTCTATAAACTGGATGGCCTATGTTAGTGTTCCAAACCGTCCTATTTTCCCAGGGCATGTCCTAGTTTTTGTAGTGTCCTGGGGTGTCCTCGATAGTATATAGTATAAGCAGCGTCCTGGGTTTAAAACGCCCTGATAAGAAGATATATTTTCAAAATTCACGCGCCATTTTTCGAGTTTTTTTTAATACTTTTAAGTATTGAAGACTGATTTATCATTACTTGAATTTTATTAATTTAACCTATTGACATTATATCTTATATATAAAATTCTCGTGTCACAGTTTTCGTTCCCATACTCCTCCGAAACGGCTTGACCGATTCTCATGAAATTTTGTGAGCGTATTGAGTAGGTCTGGGAATTGGCCAACATCTATTTTTTATCCTCCTAAATGTTAGGGGTAGTCCACCCTTAATTTTTTTTTTAATTTAAGGCAAAACAACGTTTGCCGGGACAGCTAGTATTAATATAATTATAACAAGTATATTACTGAGTCCTGGTTTTAAACGAAATTGTCCTGGTTTTTCTAACATGGAAAGGAGATTGCTAGTAATGTGGACTGATGATCTCATTGCTAGCAATGTACCATGTCAGGTTGACCTCCACGCGGTTCCCCCTGGAAACCATCGTGATAAATTCCAGATAACTGAAAACGATGGGCTAACTGACCTGACCTCATGCTTATCTTATCATCCTCCACTGGTGCCCCGCCAGCTTAAACCGTTAGCACAGACGGGTGCACCATTTCATTATAATACAAAAAAACATCAAATCCTAGTTTCTTAAATTTAGCGTTGGCAACCCTATAGTATATGGAATATAAGGTCATAGGATTGTCAATATCTATTATAATACTGTCTAACTGTTTATCATAATTTATATCATAAACATAATAAGGTACAAGGCCGTTGACTTTAACACAATTATTTTTTAGGTAAACTTTCTTATGTCGCATCTTGATTTGACTTTCACCTTGACGTTTCATCAGTATCCATATATGTAAGGAGAGAGGATCATCAATAATGCTGGAATTGTGACCCCAATTCTAGCAGTGACACTGACATGTTGACATGTCTTGACACCGTGACATTGTAGGTACCCACAGGATCAGACTCAGTCTGTCAGTTATTACAAAAAGATAAATCTGGTTTAGCACTAGAATTATTCCTTATTACAAAACTAAGTTTATCTCTAAACCGTGATTCGTCTCTGATCTAAAGTTAGACCTGCGATGCCCCTAGTTTAACAGTGGTCTAAATGCAAAACTTCAAACTCCATTTTTTAAATATTGTATTGTAAGTTGTTGTTTTATTAAAAAAGGCTTAACTAAATTAGAAATATATCAACTAAGGCTAAATTGTACAATTAGCTGTAAATATTTTTAGTTAATAATAATAAAAATATATAAAAGACGCCATTTGTTATTTTATTCACTCTTTTGACTTTGAAATAGTCACCATTTGAAACGATCCATTAAAAATATCTCGCCGTTCCTTTTCTCCGTAACTCCGTCCTTACTTGTAATTTAAAACTGATTTTTAGCCTAATAGTACGTTAATAAATATTATATATTAATGAAATAGTTACAATGAAAACGTAGATAAATATAAATATTTATTGTTTTTACTTTTATACATTTATCTTTGAAGTGATTTTATTTTTGATCAGTTCAGTTTTCCGGTAAAATGGAACGCAATTGTACGCTGCCTAATGTGAGTGACTGATTTCTGTATATTATCTGTGGGGAATATATAATGAACGATTTAACTGTAGTACTAAGTAGTCCTCTGTTAGATCTGGATTCGTAATAATGTTAGGTTTATTCCAAGTATTAACTTTAGGAATGGTTTAAACCTCGACCATTTAGACCACGTTTCGTCCGAGTTTTAATAGATTTTTTATAATAAGACTGAGTAAGTTTAACCAAGCAGTTTGTTTTGTAAGCAGTTTCGTTTGGATGATGAGATAAGGCAGTGAGGTAACTGGATAAGATGGTCCTGGACATCTCAATCCTGAAATGGCAACGTATGGCATGTTTTTTTTTATGGATGATAATGAAATATAAAGTGGTAATCACATCTCGTCATAATAACTGAACTCATCATCATCATCCAGACAACTGATACAAATACATAGAAAACACCCAGACCGACACAAATACAATATAATACAATTTTTTTTTATGTGTATGATAATGGAATGGTGCACCCGCCTGCGCTAACGGTTTACGCTGGCGGGGCACCAGTGGAGGATGATAAGATGAGCATAAGGTCAGGTCAGTTAGCCCATCATGATATCTTCACAGGGAATTTATCACGATGGTTTCCAGGGGGAACCGCGTGGAGGACAACCCGACATGGTAGATAACCAGCAATGGAGTCATTAGACCACATTACTAAATTCCTACCAACCCACTTTCCCCCTCATGATCAGTATTGCGGGTATCACATGATAACGTGATATACATAGTGATGTTCATGTATATAGGTAACGGAAAATGTAGATGGGGTCGACCTCCACGAGGTCCTTCCTGGAAACCATTGTTGGTAATTGGTGAATTCCACGGGGCTAATTGCTTCTAAGTTTATGCCTAGAAATATTAGAGTCAAAAGAAACTGCTTTTCTCTAAATGCTTATTATATATAATCTATACATATAAATAAAATTTGAGTGTCTGTTTGTAATATTGAAATAACCGTTTTTTTATTACATGCATATGATACATATACCAAAATAACATTTTTTACAATATTTATCTGTCTGTTTGTTTGTTCCGGTAATCTCCGAAATGACTGGACTGATTTTGACGGGACTTTTTTTGGCAGGTAACTGATGTAATAAGGAGTAACTTAGACTACTTTTATTTTTAAAAATTAAAGTTAATATCCACGCGGGCGAAGTCACGTGTACAGCTAGTATATAATAATATCTCAGGACAATTCACACAACGCCATTTGGTCCCAAGCTTAGCAGAGCTTATGTTATGGGTATGGTACTGTATTATTTATGTAGTTTGCATCTGGATATTTTCTATGTATATTATCTATATATATATCTTATGTATTTAAAAATAATTAGTATTTATTATCAGTTATCTAGTACCCATAACACAAGCTCTGCTTAGCTCAGGACTATCTAGTCATCTGGCACCATCTGGCGCTGTGTGAATTGTCCAGGGTTATTATTGCAAAAGACTTATGCTACATGAGGGCCCTAGTCATGATGCATATATATATATATATATATATAAAACAATATATGCATCATGACTAGGGCCCTCCCGGGACACTGCAAATTGAATAAACAATCGAAATTAGACCTTAGCTTAACATCAATCTGCAGGAAATGCCACTACACATCCTATGTGGTTGTAGCCCACTCATGCATAAACGAAATATCTCCTTTAGAAAGTTTACACTTATATCCCGAGGAGATAAAAACCATCGCTCCTAAGAATATCCTATTATAGAATAGTAGTAAACTTTGAAAAGGGCGATTTTTTTCCGGACTACTCTTATGCTGGCCGCAGCTGGCCTTTACAGCTTCACCGGACGATAGGGAGCGAGTGCAGATGGCACTCCAAACCAAAGGAAGGACTTATGGAGCGGCTGAAGGCCAACTCCTGAAGGCCTGACAGATACGTTACTGTTATTATAATAAAAAAACACAAATACGTATATACACTTATATCCCGAGGAGATAAAAAACATAGCTCCTAAGAATATCCTTCAGTTCTTGACCCTGACGGGTCTAGGTAGCGAACTTTGAAAAAGTACGAGCACAATACATCTCTGTAGGTCGAAGTACTAACTACTACTACTATTAATGATCTTATTGCTAGCTTATAATAGTATACATGTCAGGTTGGCCTCCACACGGTTACCCCTGGAAACCATCGTGAAAAATTCATTGTGAATTTGCCACGATGTGCTTACTGACCTGACCTCATGCTCATCTTATCATCCTCCACTGGTGCCCCGCCTGCGTAAACCATTAGCGCAGGCGGGTGCACCAATCCATTATTATTCATAAAAAAAAATAGCCCAAAACGCCAATAAAAAAAAATATTTTTTATTCTATTAAAAAAATATATCTTCTTACCAAAATGGCAGCAGATAACAATATCGCACTCCTCATGTTAGCGGAAAAGCCTCCTCAGGAAATTGATCTTCTTACTGCGCCGGAGTCTCCAAAGCCTGCAGAGGCGGGCTGCGCGTGCGCACATCGAGTGGCGAATGTTACGCTGTGCGGGCGCAGGTCCTATGTCGCGTAGGGTGTTTATTGTTACCATAAAAAATAAGACTAGCACACTTTATGGTGTATTTTGTGGAGATTTTTTATTTGAAATTAGTATTTTTATATATTTGTATCTTTTATATGGAAATCAGTAGAAATAATATTTTTTAAATAAACTTAATATGTTAATATGTATTCATAATTTTTGAGATTTAGTTTTTATTACTTTTGTTATACAATTGTGTCTTTTATATATCTATACATATAAATAAAATTGGAGTGTCTGTTTGTAATATTGAAATAACCGTTTTTTGCTACACGCATATGAATATAAATACGGTACATACACCAAAATAACATATTTTACCATTTTTGTCTGTCTATCTGTCTGTTTCTTCAGGCTAATCTCTGAAGTGGCTGAACAGATTTTATATTCATATGCATGTATATGAATATAAATACGGTACATGCACCAAAATAACATTTTTTACAATTTTATGTAAAAAATGTTATTTTGGTGCATGTACAACAATCTGTCTGTCTGTTTGTTCCGGCTTGTCTCTGAAATGGCTGGACCGATTTTGACGGGTTTTTTTTTTGGCAGGTGGCTGATGTAATAAGGAGTATCTTAGGCTACTTTTATTTTAGAAAAATTCTTTTATTATTAATAAATAAAGTTAAATTCCACGCGGATGAAGTCGCGAGTACAGCTAGTAGAAAAGATATCTCTAAAAAGAGATTCTTGCAGCAAACCTAGAAAACGTTATAAGGATAGTGTATTAACTAGAATAGTCATACACACGTGTACGAAAAGAGGAGAGACAGAGAGAAAGAGTATTATCCTAAAAGTTCATCTTAATTTATTCGCAAATTTTATCAACGTTCATATCACTAAAAAGCCTCTTTTATATTTATTTAAGGTTATGTTCACTTTATGTCACAGATGAGTCCCTCATATTCTAATTTTGAGATGGGTAGCTTCCGGCGGCCGTGAACTGAACTGGTTTCATTTGGTTTGATAACAGGAAATTACTTTTATCTTGATAATAAAACTAATTTCAGTTGAAAATTAAAAAAATATAGATAACTAACTGTGCCCGCGACTTCGTTCGCAAGAAATAGAGGAGGAATGAGGAATTTCCATTTCATCCTCTATTTTATTTTACCCCCTTAAGGGTAAAATTCGTACAAACTTTGAATGTCAATAGATAGTCAAAAGCTTAAAAAATAAGTTTCAAGCTTCTAGCTTTAAAAATGATGATACTTCCATAGAACGTTTCATCTCCCCTTACTACCCCTTACAACCCTTTCTTCGCATTAAAAAGTAGCCTATGTCCTTTCTCAGGGTCTAGACTATCTGTATACCAAATTTTATTAAAATCGGTACTTCGTAGTTTGTACGTCGTAGTTTTGGCGTGATAGCGGGACAGACAGACAGACATAGTTACTTTCGCATTTATAATATTAGTAAGGAAGTAAGGATTTTTAGTAAGATTAATCAGCACTGTGTTTTAACCGCGACATTCTCTGCTATTTTCAAGACTAAAGATATACAATGTCCTGCCTCGATAATTATCTGTACCTGTTTTTATAGCCACCCAAAAGCGCCGTGGTGGTCTTTGAAATAAATGTTGTTCTTAATAAATACACATTAACAAGGATTAGGCATGCGATAATCATAAAAACCGCTACGCACTCTGTCTATGATTATTTCAAAGTGTATTAATTATTATTATAATGTTTGTAGCACTTTGAAATACTTTAGTAAACATAATTATAAATAAATAAAGTGAGCAAAGTGACTTCACTGGTCCAGTCAACCTAACTAGAAATGAATGTTACTAGTGAGTAACACAACAGTAATAAAACACCTATAAGTGTATATATGTATATGTGTGTATATATACACACATATACATATATACACTTATATCCCGAGAAGATAAAAAACATAGCTCTTAAGAATATCCTTCAGTTCTTGACCCTGACGGGTCTAGGTAGCGAACTTTGAAAAAGTACTTATCTTAATCGTATCGAAATGATTTTTAAATGATTCTTATTAATATTTTCTTATATACTGTTTTAAACTTAACGCAGTCATTATTTATACGTATAATTAGTAAAAATCACAAAAATCATTTTTTTTGCTGAGTTCCCGATATTTCGGCAGTGTTTCAACCACCATGATCACGGTAAAGTAAACAAATAAATATAAAACGTGGTAAGATCCCGTGATTTTTACTAATTATACGTATAATATTTTCTTTTTTCTCGATTAATCCTTACAGTTAAAATTATAACAAATTATACTCTGAACTATTTACATTATTTTTATTATAAACACACCGCAGTCAGTCATCCATTAAATTGCTCTATTTATTTTAATTATTATTTTCACGTACTCAAATGGGTTAAAGCTGAAAATCAGTGTTTTGTTCCTTGAACAATGTTCCACGCTGAGCTTCGACCTTTTTGTATTGCTACAGATCACACATAATAACACAATTTTATAAATCTTATGTCGTATTATGTATTGTCTATTCTTATGAACATGTTGTGTGTGATTAGTAACAAACAAATAAACTATATATCTATCTATCTATATACTAGCTATTGTTTTGTATTGTTAATAATTATACAAATGTCCATTATCTAAATAAATATTATTTCTATTTCTACTTTGTTATGTGTATACATTAAATATAATAATATAAGTACCGTGATAGAGTGAGGCCATGGTCACCCTACTAGGACGCGACCTCTGCGCGGGCGCATCGATTCGTGTTCGGACAACCAATCAGCCAAACACCTTGCTCGCTCATTGATCATTGAGTTGATATTGTATTTTTTGTATTCATTTCATAATCTAATAATTTAGTAGTTCATATATTTGGAGATCTATAGGTTCGACCTAGTTCAGACTCCAGTCTCTCACTAGGAATAAGTTGGAAGTTTAAATATAATTTATTGCGGAAGGAGATTGCCATGTCATTCCAATGCCAATGTAACATGTCAGGTGGACCTCCACATGGTTCCCCCTAGAAACCATCATCGTAAATTTCCATTTTTTTTAGAAGGTTTTTTAAGTATAAAAAAAATCCCTTTGCCAAGATGGGCTAACTGACCTGACTTCGTGATTTTGTCATCATCCTCCAGTGGTGCCCTGCCGGCGTAAACCATGGCGAATTTCCCGAAATAAAAAAAGGACTTTAATTTTATACAAGGACGGATCCAGCTTTCGCACTAGGAGGGGTCACATAGTCGTGGTCATGGCTCCAGGAGGGGGCCACATAGTCGTGGACAAGTCAAGAACTTATAATTTAATTTTGATAACAATAGATACAAGTAAAAAATAGGTACTTTAATAATGTACAAAGTAATTATATTATAATAAATTAATTAAATATTGAAGGTATGTAGTTACATAAAATCTGTATGGTGTCAAAATATATAAATAAAATCATTATGTTCAATAAGTGGTCCACCTAAGTCCTGAAACCAGCTCAGGGGGGAGGGGGTCATGACCCCCAGGACCACCATGACCCCCCTCCTGGATCCGTTGATTTTATAACGTTGACAATAAAAGGAATAAAGGTATTTTTTTTCGGACTACTCTAATGCTGTCGGCCGCAGCTGGCCTTTACAGCTTCACCGGATGATAAGGGGCGAGTGCAGATGGCACTCCAAACCAAAGGAAGGACTTATGGAGCGGCTGAAGGCCAAATCCCGCCTGACGGATACGACTTTAGTCTGAGGGCACCGCTAGGGGTTCGAACCTCGGCTCAGGCCGTCGTAATTTCGATCCCCGTTTGAATTGGACGGGGGATCGATCGGAGGGGATAAAGATATGTCATTTTGTAAATAGATATGGTTTAGGTATTCCTGTTATTTATCTTAATAATTTCATTACAGTTTCAATCGTGTTTTTTTTGTAGAACAAGAGTTTTTGTGCATTTCATAGTTCTATGTATAAAATATCTATGTATATGTATCAGTTGTCTAGTACCCATAACACAAGCTTTAGCTAGCTTAACTTGGGTCTAGATGGCGCTGTGTGAATCATCCTGAGATTATTATATTAGTACCATAGTTTATTGCTGGACACTGGAAACCACTTTTTTACCTTTAAAAAAAATGTATATAATTTGAGCTGTTAATTTTATGACATAATCCTTTCAGACCTGAATTATTTTTTTACATCCCATGGATTTGGTAAATACCATTCCGTCTAAAGTATAATAAGGAGCAAAAATTGCCTTAAATTTTTGAAAACAAATTAGTAATACTAAATTGAATATTTATAAGTGAACAAATGAATACAATCGTTTTCAATCGGAAATTATAAAATCGTTTTAAATGATATTTTATGTCTACGATTGTGCACGCCAGTTTTGAAAGGGATAAGAAGAATATACGTTTTTTTTACTCCTTTTTGCATATATTTATTTTACGTAGTTATAGAGTAGATGCAATAGCTTTCTGCACATAAAGAACCGACATACAAACATATAATACATACAAAATACACCACATAAACTGGATGGATGTACTTACGTGACAGTCAATGAGACCCAACTGATTTATTAGGTACTTACTTTAAGGTTATTATTCTATGTTAAAAATTAATTGTTACTAGGTATCAATTGTAATATATCCTATCTCAATAAACTATTATTGATTCATAATAATCTTCACATAGTATAAAATGAAATCACTTCCGATGTCTTATTACTTAGATCTTTTGAACTACGCAACGGATTTTAATGCAGTTTTTAGAATTAGATAGACTGATTTAAGAGGAAGATTTATATGTATAATACATGTATTGTTATACCCAAGTGAAGCGTAGAATTAAAACAACACAAATTGAAATATAAAATAAAAACAGAAATAGCGACATCTATACTTTTGCGCTTGTACTACATAATAAGCGTATACGGCTACTCGACGATAGATGGCACTGCATATTGCTTATATTTTCTTTAAAAGTAGTTATAAGATATATCTTGTTATTCTGAATTAATTGGCACTTATTATTAACAATAAACTCTATGATATAGTAATAATTAATTATTTTAAATGTTAATACTTTAATTTACCAGTTTCGATGTTTCGATGTCATGACAGTATGCTTGCGTTGCTATAGTAACACGTACATTATTAAAACAAAATGTCTAAACATAATATAACTAATAATAAGTTTATTTGTGATGTAAATTATGGACGATACAGTAAAACACACATCGGTAGCAACGATAGACCGTTTGGCAAAAGAATAGTTACACATAAAAAATTGGTTACCTCTAAGAACATACACACGGCTAATTCTAAAAATGGTAAGAGTTATTCCGCTGGCATTATAAATGAGGATAAATTAAAAGTGATTAGACCAAAGAAAACAACAAAATCCACAGTAAGTGTTCATAAAACTAATAAAATAGACGCATATGACCATAGTAAGGGTTGTGGTGATACAACTATAGAAGACAGTTTTAATTCCAATAGTAATAACGTGAATAGTAAAATAAAACAATATTGTGATACTAGACTCAATTCTGAATCGAAATCATCAAATTACAAAATAAAAAATGATAGACCAAGTTTTGGAATAAAACCATCAAAATCTTTAAGACAGTGTTATAGAAATGAGAATTTCCATCGATCGTCCGACTCCATTGGCGAAATTGAAAGCAACATGAGAAGGATTTCGTTAAACACAATTAAAGAATTACCTGAAGTTGTTATTTCAGACAGTACTGCGTCCCACGTTTCAGATGTATTTAATATATATTCAGATTCTGAAGAACTTGGATATTTAAACATTAATAATGAAGATACTATAAAGAAAATAAAAGAATTTAGGGATAACAATTATTTTGAGTGTCATTCAGCCAAATCTAGAATTGAAAGTAAAGTGAGTGTTACAAATTTGATAGATCACAAATGCAGCTACAGATTCTATTTGAACGATCGACTATTTCCCATACCAATATGCACTGACCATCAAAACAACATAAGATGTGTTGAGTGTCATCTACCAATGACTTTAAAAAATGAGGGTACTCATAAAATTAATGGTACAATACAGGCAAAAACTAGAATAGGAGATGACCAGCCACAAGACACGATCTTGTTTCTACCTATTAACGAGCATCTGATAATAAAAGAGAGAAAGAATGAGAAGAGAAGAGAAGAGGATATGTTCTATTTTGGGATCATAAAACTGGGTAGCGACGGTAACTCAGTTTTCAATCAAACAACGCCATCTAATTCACTGGCGTTGAGATATCAAAAAGGGTACAAAGACCATAGCAATAGTGTTTACAGATTTGAAAACATTGATCAAGGTGATGTTATTGTTATTTAATTCATTTTTTATGAATGAATTTGTATTATAATTTTGATTGTTATAATTGCAACAATTTTTATATAAAAATATTACTTTTATATTCTTAAATTTAACATCTGCTCAGTCGTTCTGTCGGTCGTTTATTCGTTTGTTTGCTGGAATATCAGAAGACATTATGTTTAGCTCATTTGTATGAACAATCCAAGATAATATAAAAATTTGATATTTTTTGTTATATTTATTGTAATAACTATTTAGTTATATTTATTGTAATAGTAGAGTAAGCCGAATATAGCGGAACGTAAATATTTCAATTAGATGCTTGAGTGAGGTGATACGAAAGATCTCTATTCTGAAAAATATCTACATCGTAATATTATTGGACAGATACAACTCTTAATTTCAGAAAACAGAATACAATCGTAATTTTATTACATGAATGTAGTAATTTTTTAAATTTTGGCTGTGACATTAAGAAACAAAAGTATAGTATTGAGAATTCCTCGCAAGATGGTAAACAATTTCCTGGTACCTACGCAACATAAAACCTGTCTGATTCTCATTTAACATCCATAATTATTTTCTGGTTCTTGAACACTGGCTCGCCTGCGTCATACAGAATCTTTCCATTATGCCAGCTCGTTAATAATGTTAAATGCATGACGTAATATTTCTAACATAAAAAATAAAATATTACGTGATTTTAATTTTTAAAAGTCTATTGAAAAATGCTTACATTAAGTATGACTTTCGTTAGATCTGGAAAATGCTAAATAATATCAGGACAATTCACACAACGCCATCTAGATCTATTATCATCCACAAAAAAAAACATTTGACAATAGCCCAAATAACCCAATATAAAATATATATATATATATATATATATATAGCCTATATAACATCACGCTACGACCAATAGGAGCGGAGCAGCAATGAATATTGAGTACTTCCGCTGCGTGCAATGCGTAAACGCATATGCTTCCTCCAGATTCCTACTTAGATTGTGGAATGAACTTCCTGCCGAGGTTTTCTCACGAGACTACAGCATGGGGTTTTTCAAGAAGGGTATATTAAGGTTTCTTAAGGGTCGGCAACGCGCACGTGACACCCCTGGTGCTTCAGGCGTCCATAGGCTACGGTAACCATTTACCATCAGATGGGCCGTATGCTTGTTTGCCACCATAGTAGTATAAAAAAAAAATTACGGAATTGTTTTCCTTTAGAAGTTCTAAAAAAAATCCGCGACAACATACATATATGTATCTTTTAGGGTTACCTCACTATATTTTTTTTATTGTAATCAAATTTCTTCTAGAATAATTCATTACTTGCGAAGGTGTTTTTTTCATTGTCATTTTGAGTCTTTTTAGGCAATAAGTAAGTATTACTTAATAACAATTTTGAACGTGAAAAACTTGAACTTTTGCATTAAAAAAACATTCTTTCCTCGTTTTAATATTATTTTAGATTAGTTTCCATGTTTCCAATTAGATATATATTGATTATAATATTATATATAGATAGATAGATAGAATATACTTTATTTGTAACACACAGTAAAGAAAAGGCTTTTTTTTTGTGTATGATAATGGAATGGTGCACCCGCCTGCGCTAACGGTTTACGCTGGCGGGGCACCAGTGGAGGATGATAAGATGAACATGAGGTCAGGTCAGTTAGCACATCGTGACAAATTTATCAGGAATTTAACACGATGGTTCCAGGGGGAACCGCGTGGAGGTCGACCTGACATGGTACATAGCAATGGGGTTATAAATCCACAATACTAACCCTTCCCCCCAGTAAAGAAAAGGCATAAACAATATTTTAAAGGACATGTATAGTTACAATAAGGCGGCCTCACACGTTTTGACTTGTAAAATGTGAACTTACAAGGATTGTTTAAAAAAGCAACACACAAGTTTCTTGCTTATTCTTCTTGTGATGAGACAGCTTTCCGAATAAGCGGTAGATTTAAAAAAAATGTTGACTATTCAAAAGTGCTTAAATTAAGTTTATTTGAATAAATGATTTTCTATTCTATTCTTATTGCTGAAAGCAATCTTTTCAAGGCAACCTTAGGGAAACGAATTGAAAAATGAACAGGTAGGTAATATGCATACAGGAGAAAAATAAAAAAAAATAACAAACATATATTTATGAAGGATTATAATATGAATTTAAAATTTATGTATATATTACATAAATTTTAAATTCATATATAATATATAATACATAAATTTCAAATTGATTACATTGCATGTTTACAATTAAATATATATTGTTTAACCCGCTCTTGAACATTTTATTACACCATTTACATATATCGAGGTCAACTAGGTCATATTCCCGTAAATAAACATTTACTTTAAGATCACGTATGTCATTTAACAATTGATCTTTTGCCTCACATCAGATGAAGGACTTGTTAACATATTTATTGGTAAGGTTAATCAAATCAAATCAAATCAAAACATCTTTCACGCTTTAATGACCTTGACCAGGGGGGGAGGGAATTGCTAGTAACGGGAACTAGTAATTCCCACTGCTAGCAATGTACCATGTTAGGTCGACCTCCACGCGGTTCCCCCTGGAAACCATCGTGATAAGTTCCTAGTGAATTTGTCACGATGGGCTAACTGACCTGACCTTCATGCTCATCTTATCATCCTCCACTGGTGCCCCGCCAGCGTAAACCGCTAGCGCAGGCGGATGCACCATTTCATTATCATCCCCGAAAAAAAAATGGCTTGACCAATGATCATGAAATTTTGACAATCTTATTTTGAATATACGTAACTAGAGGGATACGATATATTAGTTCTCGGGAATGGTTCTAAAAAAACAAAATCATAATCAAAAATATCTTTATTCATATAGGTCTATTACAGACTCTTATGATATGTCGAATCTACCGTCAGTTCGGAATGATTGCGAGATGAGAAGAACTGACAAGACACTCGGCTCGTATTCTTTTCAAATAAGCTTGTACTTGATTACAATAATACAGATTCATTCTTAAATGTAGGTCACAAAAATATTGTAGAAAAATCCGATATTTTAAAAAGATATTCAAAGAAGGTTGTTAGTGTTTAGTACTAATGAAGTACCCAATGTAAAGATTATTACAAATATTGTAAACAGCGCCATCTAGTATTTATAGAATAGAAAATCATTTATTCAAATAAACTTAAATTAAGCACTTTTGAATAGTCATAACAATTTTTTTTATCAACCGCTCGTTTGGAAAACTGTCTCATCACAAGAAGAACGAGCAAGAAACTTGTGTGTTGCTCTTTTAAATAATCCTTGTAAGTTTACATTTACAAGTCGAAACGTGTGAATACAAACTACCAACCAGCACTAATTTTTGGGTCAAATATAAATATACAACAAGATTGAATCAGTCGTAGTGATAAGAGCAGACCAGTCCCTACAAGCAGCACCCGTTCACGAGTATGACGGATGAGCCAGCCATCACTGCTCATATAGACCGAACCAAGTTGTTTGTCATAAGATAACCATTACCCCCGCTCCTCTCCCCATCGGTCTATAAATACGGAGGTCGGTAGTTGAATAATTCTCTTTCGTTGAATAAGCCACGGCATAGGGCAGTAAAGTCCTCGAGAGGCGACCGCGGACCGGAAGACGCAGCGTGGGAAGGCCTCCAGCAAGGTGGACCGACGATCTGGTCAAGATCGCTGGAAGGCATTAGATGCGAGCAGCGCAGGACCGATCGTCGTGGAGATCCTTGGTGGACGTCTTCCGGGCTGAGATGGTGATGATGAGGCCTATTAGGATGAAAATATTATTATATTATTTTGATAACACCAATCACGATATTCGCTCAACCAGAAAATTTTTACTTCATATCCCGGCTCATTTATCTGATTTCGTCCACTATTCTTTCACCGTTCAGGCTATCAAACTTTGGAATGACTTACCTCATGATATCAAAACCGCTACGAATAAAATTTCTTTTAAACATAAACTACGGGAACCTTATCTCAATTTGTAACTTTTTACTGCTCTCTTCTATTTCTCTTTCTTTCATTATTCTTCCATTCTACTCTCTATGGGTCTGTGACTGTCAGACTATTGAGTATCTAGTATATATTTATTTTATGTATGATAAAATAAATATATACTAGATACTCAATAGAATTTAGATAACTTAATAGAATTGAGATAATGTTCCCGTAGTCTATGTTTAAAAGAAATTTTATAATATAATATTTGTATATATTTATGTAATTTATGATTGTATTCCTAGATATATATTATATTTATCGTTCTGTTTATATTTTGTTGCGTTTTATTTATCATTTATTATATTTGCACCGCCAACAATTATTCTCTGCACCACCAATGGTTGACTGGTAGAAAATGCCGCATGGTGTTAGGTCCGCCAAATGTACTTTACTATATTTTGTATATTATGTGCATTGAAGTTAACTAAATAAAATAATTATATAAGAGTGTTGCTAACGCGGTTATAAAACATGACGTGTCAACGTAATTTAAACGTATATAAGCCAATTATTTTATTACGATGATCGTTAATTATATTCACTATTACAGCAGAAAAACCATTTTCCGTTTAAAATATTGTTATACATACAACAATGATGTTATATAAACCATTGTTTAACATTTCAGTTAAACTGTTGTGAAATCTTTGCGCAACTGTGGTCAATAAAGGCTAGAAAAGGTGGTTATAGGACCATAACAAAAAGTTACTTTGACCTTGGTGGTCTAGCGGCTTAAGATTCTCTCTTACTTCTGATGTTCGCAGGTTCGATACGAAAATATTGAGTAATTTTGTATGTATGTTACGAACTAGCAGTTTCAAACGCATGAAATTTATAGTCTGTGTTATTTTGATGTACAAGCTATATTATTGTAATTTTTCATCAAAATCCATTTAGTAGGTTTTGCGTGAAAGAATAACAAACATTCATGTATCCATACTCACAAACATTCACACTTATAATATTAGTAAGTTCGATTCCAATAAAATATATCAGTTGTCTAGTGTTTAGGTTGGGACTAGATGGCGCTGAGTGAATTGTCCAGGGTTTTTTTTTATGGGTGACAATGGAATGGTGCACCCGCCTTCGCTAACGGTCCATACCATGAAATGTCCATACCATGATAGACGATTACTCTTCAACCTCTCTGACACCGGTGCCACTTTCATACTTCCTCTAATGTATTCATTCTTTATCTTATCCATTCTTGTCACACCACACATCCACCTCAACGTTCTCATTTCAGTTGCATGCAGTCGTCTTTCATCCGTCGCCTTTACGGGCCAGCACTCTGATCCATACAAGACAGCAGGCCGGATCATGGTCTTGTAAATCCCCTTAAGCTTAAGGGGAACACGCGAGTCACACGTCGTTGCCGTAACCTGCCGCCACTTCATCCATCCTGCGTTTTTTTTTTTTTTATTCCCTTTTATTTGTTTCACCGTTTTTTTTTTTATGTGTATATTTTAAATCTTAGGCTCCCGCTGCGATTTGATACAGGGGAAGTCCTTAATAGAAGTTTTCACTGTAGGGATATATATTATATTATACATACTTTCATAATTACACATATATTATACATAAAATATTATATTAAAATATATAATAGATTTAATACTTAAATATAAAATTTAATCATAAAAAGTTTACGCTTGTATGTAGTGTACACTTATGTATTGTTAATCTGTTTTAACTTATAAATAATAATTTTAGCCAGGGCATCATAAGAAGCAAGAGTTTCCGGCTTTTTAATGAGGCTCGTCAAATTATAAGGGGATCCATCCTGCGTTAATTCTATGCTTTATGGTCCTGTCTAATTCACCATTGCTTTGGAGGAGAGAACCTAGATACCGGAAATCGGAGCAGATCGGTAATGGAGCTCCATTTAGTGATACGGAACAAGGCGATAATGATAACAATAATAATAACCCTGGACAGGGGGGAAAAAGGATTGTTAGTAATGTGGAATGATGATCTCATTACTAGCAATGTACCATGTCTGGTTGACCTCCACGCGGTTTCCACTGGAAACCATCGTGATAAATTCTTGTTGAATTTGTCACGATGGGCTAACTGACCTGACCTCATGCTCATCTTATCATCCTCCACTGGTGCCCCGCCAGCGTAAACCGTTAGCGCATGCGGTTGCACCATTCCATTATCAAGTCTAAAAAAAACTGATATATATACTTAGATTTATATTTACATACATACATAAATATACATAGAAAACACCAAGACCGATACAAACTATCATACCCATAAATACAAAAGTTTACACCTTGCGGGGAATTGAACCCGCGAAATCGAATTTCGCTGATATAGTACGCCCTCTGGTGTTAAATCCACCACAACCTAGATTAAAACTTAATTGAATCGAATTAAATGTATCTTACAGTACATTAGTTTCTTTTCAAAGACAAAAACCATAACAATCAGGTATTTATATATATAATTTATGGGATTATTCATATATATATATATATATATATATATATATAACCCATCAATATAAGAACAGTGATTATTCAATGCGAGATTGGATTGAATTGTGTATTACACACATAAATATAAGAGAAGGGAGCACAGATCTTCAGTTCATAACAGAGTATCTACGGTCGCGGCTGCCCCTCACAATTTAAAGTATCGTGAACGCATTCGAAAGATCGACTGTTCTTTTTTTAAATTACAATCTGTGGTCAAAATGTTTATGAATTGTATATTTTTAATTTTGGCGTTGACGTGCCGTGGCTTGGCGGGAAATGATTTGCGTGAGTAATATTTTTAGTAATTCTTTTTAATTATGTTAATTGATGAATTTTGTTGAATAAATTTGAAGGAAATATATATTGATTGTTGTTTTAAAATTCGTCCCATTTTCGACAGGCGAAGAGCATTGCCCATACAGCCTAGTCAGTAGTTACATTAATCTTCAGTATATAAATAAATTTATTTCTTAAGTAGAATGTCCGTAATAATTTTCTTCAGTAATCCATAAAATTAGTCATAATATGTAATTAGTCATATCCAGGTTTTAAGCAAAATATATATTGAAATAAATTATTTGAATAATATAATATGTTGCTGGCCGCTTGTCCACCATACTTTTTTATAAATTATGCATATTTATAAAAAGTATGGTTTTGATCTTTTTAATATTTTGACGGTCTAGCGTGACCTTTTGAGAATTAGTATACACTCCTAAAATTATTCCTGTTTTTTTTTAATAAATATGTAATGGTTTTGATCCATTTACATAATAGAACTATATTAGAAGTACAATTCAACTTTTAATTTTTTATTCCAATATGAAAGTATGCAGTTTTATTGATAATATAATAAAATATTAAAAATTTACGTTATAAGTGTAATAATATATTATTTTTAACAGCTATATGTATTTTTGAAAAAAAAATATTGAATCAACGAATACTTGAGTGGAACTTAGTTTGTGAATAAAATTATTTCAGTTTGTTATAGAGTTTTACTGAAATCTAGTGAAGGCACACTAATTATAATTTTTAATACCGTTTTAAAAAAATTACATTTCCGACATTATATATCTGTACCTTATCAAAAGACTTTTGATATCAATAACTTGACGTTTATTCGAAAATAGGAATTCGTTTATATTTTTTTTCACATTACTGTAAAATCATCGGTATCAACAACTTAACATATATTCTATAATTTATATAAATATTAGTGTCCGACCGAAAGTTCGATTTTGAAACCGAAACTAATTTCTGAAGTTGTCGTGCACGCTAAGATTAATAAAACTATAATGGATCTCATAATCGTGGATGGTTTGAAAAAATAATAAAAATATTGTTCATATTTGTTTTTTATTATATTAAATAAATTATTACAACAATCTTAATATACCTACTGCATTTCCATTTCACGTCCTAATTAATGCAGAGTAACGGCTGAAATGCACCAAATTTCAGTGTTTTAAGGCATTTTATACTTGATCAGGTCAATTTCGGTTTTGGTTTCGGTATCAGCAGAAACTGAAGCCACGGCCGAATATTCGGTTTCGGTTTCAGTTTCGGCTGGAAAACCAGTTTCGGTCGGACTCTAATAAGTATATATCGTCATCAAGATCCTTTAGGGTTTAAAGAATATGATGGAAGATCGTAGAAAGAGGTAAGAGCTCCACCGAAAATAGAGTTTCTTTTCAATTATGAACGAATGACGAATATTGTCCTATTTCTGGGCATATATCTTGCATATTTCACTCCATTTTTTTTATTCTGCGCGGCATTGAAACACCTCTAGTTGCATTCAAATTCAATTCAAATTCAAATTCAAAAATCATTTATTCATGTAGGACATTTTAGCCGCTTATGAACGTCAAGTTTTACATTATAATTTTTTTTCCCTACCGTCCAGTACGGTATATAGATCCAATTGAGAAGAACTGGCAAGAAACTCAATTGAATTACTTTTTTTTTAAATCCAGTTTACAGTGCATTTATATAGGTGTCTATGTCTAACATTAAATGAAAATCCCGAACATGAAAACTATTGCCGTGCACGCTCGTCATTCAAGTAATCGTTTAGTGAGTAATAGGCCTTGCTCAGTAAATATGATTTAACAGATGTTTTGAATTTATTTAAGAGTAATTCCAATATATCCTTTGGTATCTTATTGTAAATTTTTATACCTATTCCCATAAAAGACCTATTGACTTTTTCTAAACGATACTTGGGGACAGCAAGTTTGTCTTTAAATCTATTATGAATATTGCTGTTTTTTAGGAAATAAGTCAAGATTTTTATGAACATATAGGATATTTGAATATATAAATTGAGAAGCAACGGTGAGAATATTTGCCTCTTTGAATTTCTCTCTTAATGAGTCACGACTCTTCATACAGTAGATCGCATGCATTGCACTGTCGCTTCTTGGACTGACCGACGCTGTCCATCAAAGACCTATGGTAGATATCTTTGCCCAGTTTTCCCGACTTCAGCGGCATATGACATCTTGCTCAGGTCACTAATAACCATTTTGGATCGAGGGGTAAGGATATTTAGGAATTCGTTCTATCATTTCTTCTCTATACTTTGTTCTATTGCTTTTTGGCAAATCTTAAAGCAAAACTTACAAATTTTATGGATATAGGTTAGTCAACTCAGTTCTCTGGCATATTTATTTATTCATTACTTATAAGTTCATGTTGTAAATAACTTCTACAGTATAAGAGATTATTCGACATACGAACTTTTACTTAATGTATAATATATATATATAGTTTTAGTAATATTGTTTGATATTAGTGGAATACTGTGACATTTATTAATTATATAATATTCAATTGTATAAAGAATTTAATGTATTAACAGTAAGACAATTATATATATTAAAGATAATACTATACCAACATGTATCTGCTCAACAATACATACAGCACATAGATACTAAACGTAGACAAGATAAAATATTTACTACAATAATGCAAATCCTCTTTTGGGTAACGTCAATTAAAATTTCTCGGACTTCACTTATATAATAAAATCAGTAGTCAGATAAAAATTTACCCTTTTACTACATATAATTGTAAAATTAATGTTACTAATTACCTAACTACATTAACCATTTATACATACATATAACATTATACATTTACAATTTTTTCTGTTTCAATATTGAAACAGAAAAAATTGTAAATGTATACTCTCATATAATTTAAATTAAAAACAAAAATACATAGATGTATATATAATATCAGTTATACATCACACACATACACACACACACATACACACGCGCGCGCACACATACACAACTATAAAACTATAAACAAATTCATCAGATGTCATATAAGATAGTAAAAATTAAAGTACGTCAAAGCTACGTAAAAACTGTAAAATTGAACCAACCATTGTGGAAGGAAATAACATCTGTAACACAGGGATTCCCTAGCACAGATGTTACGGCCTATAAATTACCGACATTGTGTAAAAAAAAAAAATTAATAAATATATTATTATTAATATTATTACTCTATTACTACTCTTCTTTTTTCCAATGATTCTATTATTTATAAAATTTTAGCTGAATTTATATATTTAAATAGTATTAAAATTTAATGTAATATGTTCCGTATTGTATATGACCATGGATACAAGTACAAAATTATCGTTGCTAGATATAAATTAATGACGATTCCCCGTTTTGTTTTTGGCGAAATGCCCTAAAATCGGGGTGAATGTAATGTTATATCATAGTGCGTAGCGGTTTCTATGTTGATTGTCGCATGCCTAATCCTTGTTGTTAATTAAATATAAGTAATTCAATATTTATTTAAAAGAGCAACACACAAGTTCTTTATTCTTCTTGTGATGAATCTGCATTCCGAATAAGCGGTAGAATAATAAAAAACTTGACTATTCAAAAGTGCTTATATTAAGTTTATTTAAATAAAAATTATTTCTATTTCTATCACAAGAGAAAACAAAAACGAATTTTGAAACATGTATACCTATATATTTATACGTGACCTATATCGATAGAACTTTAAATAGTTGATACAAGGATTTGGACTATAGATAAGACTTAAATTTTGAACACGAATGAAAGCATAATAAATAAACACATATAAGAATTGGCCTTTGGCCTCATCGCTTATACAATTATGAAGAAGTTTCAACGTAGACTAGGCTGTACGGTCTAAGAATCTTTGCCTGTTTCATCATTGAAAAGGAGATGGACGATTATGGAAAAAAAAATATTGTGCTAATTATTATAAATTTAATGACATATTGTATTAAAATAATTATGATATCAATTTCAATATTCGCATACCCCTACGGGGTGCTGCATGTCGGGTACCTTTATTATATTGTAAGATCAAAATTACCATGTAGCAAGCAAATAAATTATAATTATTATCATAAGGAAGAAAACAAAAGTGTCCTTTCTGTAATGTGTAATTATATGTACATTTTATTTGCTCTTTTTTTTCGTTTGTTGTTTATATTGTATTTTTACATTGCACTGAATAAAATATTTTTCTTTTTTTCTTTCTTTCTTTCTTTCTTTCTTTCTTTCTTTCTTTCTTTCTTTCTTTCTTTCTTTCTTTCTTTCTTTCTTTCTTTCTTTCTTTCTTTCTTTCTTTCTTTCTTTCTTTCTTTCTTTCGCGTACATTTTGTTCCATCTTTGGCAAACACTGAACCAAAACTTATAAACTAGGTTCTAGGTTAATGAACTTAATTCTCTGACATATTTATTAGTTAAAGTTGATATAGTATCATAAGTAAGAAAATAAGAGTTGAAAATTTTATTTTTTTAAATTTAGATTGTTGAATGATCGACCTGCCCAAAATTTCTCTAGAGACTACTGCATGGGGCTTTTACAGAAAGGTACAGAATAGAATAGAAAATCATTTAATCAAATAAACTTACATTGAAGCACTTTTGAATAGTCATCACATTTTTTTTAATCTACCGCTCATTCGGAATGCTGTCTCATCACAAGAAGAACAAGCAAGAAATTTGTGTGTTGCTCTTTTAAATAATTTATTCTTACTTACAATTTAAGTTTAAGTGTGTGAATACAAAGTACCGATTAGCACTAATTAATTGAAATAATAAAATAGAAAAAACATTCAATACACAACAACTGGTTAAACAATTAATAAGAGAAAATAAGTCATAGTGATTAGAGCAGACCAGTCCATACAAGCAGCACCCGTTCACGAGTATGACGGATGAGCCAGCCACCACTGCGCTCGGCCATATTTTAGGGAGCCCAATGACCCG